AACATTAAATGTCGATTAAATCGATAAACATCACGTGATACACGCGTTCAAATGATCAATAAATATTTGAAAACAGTTTAATTTATACACAATATTTCGTCCTTCAATTTTGTTTTGATTGAAGTGGTATTATTATTTGCTGCCGGTGATAATGATGATTTTGTTATAAGACGAAGAACATAGAAGAAAGTAAATTTGACAGTGGACGTTATTTATGTAGGACCTGTATTCCACACATTGACACAATCTGAAGCTAAACATAAATTTAGGAAACGAATATCCATTGATTTTCTTATGCATTTAAAATATTTTACGAACCTTTTCAAGGTTCTTCAGTTAGTGTTGTCAGAAGAAGAATAAGAAGAACATTTAATAATTGAATATCAATGAAAACTGAAGTTGATAAAAAAATGATTTGCTAAAAATTTTCTAATCTATCATAATTATTTTCTGAAAAATAAGCAAGAAGAGAAATGCTTCATTAATCATATCAAAATTTAATTGAAAAATCAGTCATAAATATTGAACAATTTTTGTATACATGTAAAACATATTATCAAGAAAAAAATGATATTCATGCGTTGTTACATTTCGATTCACTTAGGGTTGGAGTGAACGAACTAAGGTGTGGGTGTGGGTATGCGATGGAATCGTGAGGGGTAAATAGAGAATGCACACCCACACCCTCGTCTTTGGGACCAAGTTGTTCGATAACAAGGTTGCATAATGCAGGCTTTACTTAGTTACAAATTTCTTAGATGAAAACCAGATGAATTTTCAAAACGATGGTCATCAGCAGTTATAGGGTCAAATGATTTTGCATTTAATTGCTTCTTGGAAAAACCTCTTACAATTTTCAGCTGAATACGACAAGGTTTACAATTAATTATACAATGTGCTAGTTACTGTACGCTTACTTGAATAGAATTCTAGCTGGTAACTCCGAACAAATTTTCAACGCTTGCACGACATTGCTGGCATGCTTGATGTAAATTACAGGTTTACATCAACATATATTTTATGCCTTAGAATTTACATACTATCTACATCATGGGGTATGTAGAGGCACTTCATGAAACGAGTTAAAGTGCAATATTTTACGAAATCAACCTGGTTTTATGCTAAGTTTGCCTTAAGCAATGAAAGACCACTCATGGCTAGCCATTCGTTTTAAGACCCTAAACATACATATAATATATCTATCAGTATCACTATCACCATCATCAAGTCGCGCAATTTTGAAACAGCGAACTACGAAAAGTCACTAGCACAAAATACCAACAGCTGTAGTTCCTCAATTCATCATACTCTTGCTTTAACTCGAGAAATCATTAACCAATAATTACACCCCTAACATAAACCACTTATTTTCTCTCAGATCCATAATATTTCTCATTTTAGACTGCTGATAATTCGTATATCCTTCTCCGAATTATGAATGGTTTTCAGGCAACTTTCACTTTCTGACCACTTTGTTTCTATTCTCAGCAGCTCTTCTTTTCATACTGTGTTTTAGATTTCGAGGCAATAATCTTTCTTTACCAAAACATCTCCGACAAAGTTTCGCAAAACTGATACAGTATTCAAATTCCTCGACTCTGAAAACATTCGGTAAAATTTTTAGAAAAAGTTGCTCTACTAAAAAAATTGGCAACCAAAAATTTATGGAAATAAATATTTTCTCAAAAAATATATCTTTTACAAAAAAAGGATCCTTGTAAGAACAGCTCAAAAATAATGACGAATTCCAGATCTCCGACACCAATAACCTATAGTTAGAAAGACTTTAGCAGCTATTCTGAGGATTTCGAGGAGTTCTTGTATCTGCGTTTCTATTGGACGAACGAACGAACATACATACGAACATACAAACGTACGAATGAACAAACAATCACCAGTTATTTGTTTCTAATTCACAATCAAGGGAATAATTTATTTAGTGAAAAAAACAATAAAAGATTCTAACATTTCTCAACAATAAAGCCTAGTTAAATATTTTATTCAAAAAAAAAAACTTTCTCACTACAACAAAGCAAATGTGGCACAATCGCGAAATAACAACTCATGGGGTTCTGGATGAAATATTGAGTACGTGCGTGTGCAAGACCTGTATCATATATTGTTGGTGAGTTACAACAAGGCCTTTTGTACATAGTTTGAGGAACATTCCACTCAATCTCTTCATGATCTTCATCAATAATGCATAGATTGCGTAGCCCTGTAGCTGCTTTTATGAAAGTAACATGGTATTATCCAAATTGAACTCCATCTTTTTGTGCAAAACACGAAAAACTATTCTTCAGTAAACCGAATGCTCGCTCCGTAGTATAACAGCATCGACATAGCTTGTAATTAAATATTCCGTTCTCATTTGGAGTATTTGAACGGAGCGGATATATGCTTTCATTAGAGTTCCATCTTGTAAAAGCCGAGTAAACAATTTAATGAGACTGGAATTTTCCACTATTAACCTTGACATAATCATACATTGTTGAATCTGATAAGAATGTATAATTCATTGATGGATTTTTGTTGGTCACTTTAATTTCATTTAGATCTTGTTGAAAAAGTTGATTTACATTTATTATCTTTGAATTAGTAACTAATAATGTAGTTCATTCAAATTAGACATAGAATCTGATGGAGGCAATTAGTAGGGATGATAATTCTGACTATGAAAAAGGAAAAACGTTTCCAATACGAACAAAAAACAACAGAAAACATCGAATTGATACATTAAACATATTGTATAAGCTAGTAAAACAATGAAAATTTAGAAATTTGCACAACCCAGTTGAATGAATCCGATACCGTATCCGATCGAATCTCTAGTGTTAGGATTTGGTTATAAATATTCGTTTATTTTATTTGTAACGGAAGTAACAAAAAAAAGAAACGGCAATCGAGGATAACGAAAAATGATAACGATAATAAACGAACGACGTAGTCGCTCCACTTGTGACGGAGACGACTCGATAACCTCACATTTCTCTTCTCTCTGGTCTCTTCTATTCTGCATATACTAGATCATCGATCCATATTTATATATACTTCGAAGACGAATCAAATAGAAAGAGAAAAAGGAAAATCACATAGAGGTCATTGGGACGATAGGTATCATCCCATAACAGCTAGCGTTAGAATCCGGCAAATATCCGACAAAATCCAACAGCCGAATTCCGATTGAATCCAGCTATCAGATTGTTCGTCCTAGATCTGTCGCAGCAAATTGTTACACCATGTGTTGATTTTGTTTTATTTAATTTTGGAAGTCCGGAACAAATCATTGTAAATTACCTATTAATTTTGTTTCTGACTCATAAATACTTGTTTCACATAATATTCTTATTTGTAATTTATACTTCCTCAATTGTTTAATAATAAGTTGTTACTTATAGTAATAGAAACAAGACCGTACATTCCATCTACCAAAATACACTGGTTTCTGCGCATTGAAGCACTTCTTCGATGTCTTTTCATTAGCCAGTAAAGTTTAGTGTCCTACTAAGATGTGGCTACCCTAAGGATAAGACAAGAGGCTACCGGCAGCACAGGGTCGTCTACCTACTGTTGTTAAACTGTAGAAAGTCCCTGTGAAAGTTCGAAAACCTTCCCAGCAGGCTCCATTATGTGTAACCTCGTGTTTAAGAAAAAAAGCAAACCCAGGTCGAACATTCCGGCCACCGGATCCTGTAGGATACTCCAAGAAATATGCGGGGAATTCACCATACCATACAGGAAAACACGGGAAATCGCTGGAACATGGAAGCAGTATTTCGGTCAAAAATACGGCCGGATTTTTCTGGTCGATTCCTGCCAAATTCCGGTGCTTTCCGGCAGAAATTGATCGGAAATCACCGGAACTACCCGGAATCGACAGTTGCCAGGCCGGACTGCTCGGCCTAGGTAATGTAACTGTTTTTCTATAGTTTCTTCATAAAATGTAGTGTGACCCCCAGGTGGCTCACATCGCCGCGAAAGAATTAATAGAAAATAAAAATTTATTTTGTTATCTAGGCTATTGTTCGATGCATATAGTGGCATGCGCCATTTATTTCTATCAATTCAAATTTTTTTCAGGCAATTCAGTGGCCGCAAAAGTGCTAGCGCATGCGGTTCAGATGAAAAATGTTGTGAGCCAGCTTGTGGATGCGCTAATAGATACATTAAAGCTTTAGATAAGCCAGGACTTTAAAATTCTCTTTGAAAAAAATTCTTCGCACTTCTTCGTTCGCAATTCATACGAAAACAATAAAATCGTTCGATTTTTGATGAATTTTTCCATTTAAGTTTTTCCAAGAACATCTTAGTTATAAATATAATATGCACTTAATTTGAAACAAATTGATGATTTGATATTTTAAGATTATCAGAAGCTCATGAGACATGTTTGTGCGATGTAAATTAGCTAATCAATTAAGTTTGATAGTTGCTATACATTGCAGATTCACTGATACAACTTCGTCATAATAAACAAAGCTTAACAAGTTCGATCAAACATTCATAGAAATCAAGTTCTTGAAAATATTTCAATGATTGAGTAGTACTCAAGTGATTTATAGTATTTTAATTAGTATCTATATTCAAAAATTCAATAATAAAGTTAACATTGTTTATATACAGTTAAATTAATAATTTGAATGATCATCCATAAAATATGATATTGATTAGATGATAATTTATCACAAAAAAAATATGAAAAATAATAAATATTTGAAACTATTCTAAAATTATTACAAATGCTGGAAAATAAAACTTCTATTAACAAAAGAAAGCCAACATTTAAACAGACAATTTATAGGTGAAAGAATGGTCCGCACGAAACTTGGCCACCGCGAAGATAGGTAATAGACTAGCACTGTGTGATTTTATATACGTGTTTTGTGAAATCATTTGTCTAATTTCATGCAAATGAAGTTCATACATGGCTACAAAAGAAACGAATTCTTGTTGTTTGCTTTCTGAATATTGCATTTTAATTCCATCGAATAAGAAAATGTTCATTGTATATTTAATGATACACGTTTGATATCTTTGTTAATTTCAATTAAATCAGGATGTTCTGGTTTGAAAACTTGTTTACGAATATGAAGTGCTTTTTCATAATGCATTTTAGCTTCAGTAAAATCCCTCGTAACTTCATAAACAACACCGATATTTTTAAGTGCTTTTGCAATTGAAGGGTGTCGAGGAGTAAGAGATTTTTTGAAAATTTCATACGATAATTGATATTTTTCTAATGCTTGTCCATATTCATGACGAAAATAATGTACATTACCAAGATTATTGTATGTATTACCCAAACACGGATGTCCATCAGGAAGTATTCTCTGTTTAATTTTTAAAGCTTTCTTAAGATATTGTAATGCTTCGGAAAAGTTTTTCTCTTCTAAGTAGATGATACCTATATTGTTATAACACCAAGCTAGATTTTCATGATCATCTGCAAATGTTTGCTTGAAAATTTCTAATGCTTTTTCGTATGATTGCAGTGCTTCTTTGATTTTACCTTTCTTTTGATAGACTTCACCAATACTATTATGGATGTATGCAAGTCTAGAACCATTTGATTGTCTTTTCTGTAGAATTTCAAGCGATTTAAAAAGATAAATTAAACTTGTATCATACTCTCCTTTTTCAAATGAAACTTTTCCAAGTGCATGATAACATTTATAAGTGTCTTTATGTTCAGACGATATTTGTTTTAATAATCGACACAAATATTTCTCAGCATAATTAAAATGAGCCATATCAATAAGAACATTTCCAAACAAAGTTAATTTAGTGCTACTCGAATCATATTGATTTGTCATGTGCGAAAAGATCGTTTGTAGTTCGCATTGATTATCACTACATAAATTCATTTCAATATGCCATATTTTATTATTGTCACAATAGATATTTTTCAGACGAAAAATGGATCCTAACATTATTAATATTTCTTCTTCTTGCTGAAACACACTAATTTTTGAAATATCAGCAAATGGTTTAATACTGTCTTGACGAGGATCAGCATCAATATCGAATAAAACTCTTTGAAATTTATCATCACTAGTAGATGAATCGAAATAGATAAGAGCTAATTTACAATTACGGGTTGTCGATAGAAATGAATTCATTGAAATCAATTTATTTTTTGAATCTTTCAATAAATTTAATTCTTCAATAGACATTAGTTGAGCTCGATAGACATGAATGGGCGATGAATGTTGAAGTTGTCGAAGTTGTTTTTCAAGATCACGAATAAAAAAACCGAAATAAAAGAGTAGATCAATATCCTGAACACGAAGTGCTTTATTTAATAAACGATAGAGAAATGTTTCTCTTGTATACCACCACAATGAAAAGTTTGACGAATAATCGTGTTCGAATTCATCAACGAAATGTAGTTGTGTTTTATCATCTTTATAGAGTTCTCGACATTTATAGATAAACTCTTTTTTATCTGTTGAAGTCGTTTGCATTTTAAGAAGCGAAGCAATTAATAATTGTGATTGTACAAATTGACCATCGATTTCAGTTGTGGATTGTTCATGATTATTATTTGAGTTGCAAATACTGATTAACATTGGTTGATCGCGTCTATCTTCAATTCTTCTGGATCGATCAAATCGTATTCTACTGATTACATCATCAAACTGATTATAACCATATTTTAGCTAAAATAACAAATACAAATTAAATCAGTAATAGCATTATAAGAAAATAATAATAATTACCTTGCTATACAGTTTATACCGTTGATAATCATACTGTTTATATTCGCCATATAGGTAAATCGAAAAGACTTGTGGCAGACCATGAACTTCAGGTATTAATTGTTGACAAAAGTCATCATTGACAATTACTATAAATCGATGTTGTGAAGACACTGATTGAATATACTTTATACATTTATCAACTTCGTCGAATGTTTGTAAATAGTTGATCGATAGTTGAAGTTCTTTTTGTTTATCTATATATTTTGGAGAATTGATTAAACTATCGAGCCAAATAAGATTATACGCTCCAAAACGATTATCTTTCCATGCAAACGATAGGACTTTGTCAGATGAAGATGATTCAAAAACAGATGTCATGAATTCGATTTTGTTTCTTCTTTGATTGATAAATACATCCAACACAACCAATCAAATATACAGCTAAATAATCTTTTCAATCGAAAGCTAGTAGTCACTTGGAAAATAATTCTCATTCATTAAAGAAGAAAGTCTAAAGGTAAAAAAATTACAATTGTTTCGAAGGCATACATATGAAGTATTTTTTTACACAAGACAATGAACATATTTTAATCGATATAAATAGATATTTTCCATGTTCTATCGTATTTTTGGTGAGATATAAAATATTTAGAAACATTTTAATGTAGCGAACATTTCAACTATTACGATTCGACTAAAAATTAAACCATTACAGGTGAAAAAAAATACAAAAGAAAATCATACATTCACAAAACATAGTCTAACCTCTTGATAAGATCGTGCAAAATTTTGTAGATTCTTGAAACTTAAAAGCGAGACCTCTCAACTGATTAGCTAAATGTGTCTTAAGACTGTGTGAATCAGGGGCGGCGGCGCGTCATTAAGCTAGGTGAGGCTCATAATATTTTTTTTCTAATGTGGAATTTTATGAAAGCATCAAGCAGAAACTAAGTCTTCTTTTTATTGAACTTCAGCAAAAATAAAAATGGTCAGTATAAAAAAAGAAGATTGGAAAATACAAAAATATACTTTTCTTTGCTCCTACTTTGATGCAAGAATAAAAATAGCAATAATCAGTACAAAAGCAAATGAGGCTGAGCGTCATCTTGCGAAATCTAGGCGAGACTCAAGCCTCATAGGTATCAGTGACTCCGCCGCCACTGATGTGAAGTATATAGACTCAAGCGAAAAATGAACGGATTAGTAAGAGTTTAGATTGATCGACTATTGATGCTATGATACTGTATTTTTAATGTGTTTTGTGGAGCTCGTGCATTGTTTTTCGAAGAAAAATGTTCACTATCTTAGAAGTATGGGTCTACACGTATGAATTACTTCAAATTATCTTCACATTTATGTCGATATTATTTTCTAATTGTGCGATTTTGGATTAGACTAATTACGTCTGTATGTAGATAAATATTGCTTGGCTTCGATTGCTCAGTGGCTTCTATTAACAAAGTCTGATCAAATTCATAAGAACTCAACTTGACAAAAAGATCACCTTGTGAATTTACTCATGGGAGTTAGTCAATTACAGTCAGATTTCAATACATCTAGATTTACTGATATCAATAAAAAATATTTTAAAAGAGTCATTTTGGTCAAAAAGAAAAGAAACTCCACACTCGACTTCAAGGCATTGAGTATACAAACGTTTGTTTTCGTCCTTTTACTACAACAAAAAATAATCTGTCTGCAACTTAACAAGTAGACGAAAGAAAATAGATCGAAATTGATATCTAGGTGTGAAATCGAAATTGAGGCTAAAACAGAAGAGACAAAGTTATCCACTCTTTACTTAGACTAATAATTTAGCGTTGATTCTAAACAAAACAAACGGACAGATACCGCTATTTTATGTAGAAATATTTCTTATCTCGGTTTATTTATTGTTCTTAACACAATCCTACATAACAAATGCGACGGGAGATAATATAGATGATTTTTCCACGATATAGTTTTTTGTCTCATCATAAGCATTTCTAGAACTAAGAGTATATATATATATATCAATGACGTACACTCCTTCACATGCATCTTACCTTAGATAAGACACGAAAATAACTGTTTTAAGCAAACATTATTGTTTTATCATCAACCTTGCTTGTGCACGTCTCGTCTGAAGATTAAGGAAAGAATACAAATGCAAAATGGAAAACGTCTTACATTGCATCGTCTATTGCGAAGTTAAATTATTATCAAGATCTACAAATTATCTTCTCTCAGTTATCTTTTGAAACATGAAACAATGCTTATGTACATTTTTCTCTAATCTAAATTATGTGGATTTAATCGAAAGAAACATTATGATAGATTAAAGCACTAGTGTCAAACTTGAAACTTGAATTTAATTTTCAACCGTTAACCTTCAAGTCTGAAGTTTCAAGTTTCACGCTTCCAATTTTCAGACATTGATTTTTCATGAATTTTAATCATTATGCGTCGTCCGTTGATGATTGAGAAATCTAAATACGAGACAAGATAAAAGCGACAATTATCAGTTTGAAAATATTTCTTTTAAGAATTCTACTCAATCAGTAATATTCATTCGCGATTATTCTGTTATTCGTCATGTTTTGTTTTAAAATATTGATATCTCCCATTTACAAGCAATTGAAATATATTACTCATATTGTTGTGTATACTTAGTTATTAACATTCTGATCTTGATTCTAAAATTTTAAAATGTTTTATCAATCAATATAGTATAACATTGAGGTCTTTATTGTAAAAAGTTTCTCTTTGCCAAAGACCAAAAAAGCTCATTTCACATTAAAAAAATCATTAAAAATTCAGACATATGAAGTGAATACTCTTTTTCTGAATTATTCAATAAATTTTCGAAACTTGTTTAAATACTACATCAGTTGCCATGTCATGTCAATTCGTAATCATTTTCTTGAACTTTTATCATCCATATCTTTTAGTGAAATTTTATTAGAAGTGTAAATTAAGTAATTAAATGCAACTAAAAAATTGAGAGAGACATTTCCCATTTATAGTGAATCTATCTAAGAATTGTCGACGATTTCGTGCGGCTAATCTTACTAATTGAATAAATGTCAACGCAAAAACAAATAGAACATAATAGCAGCTAAGGCTAGAAAACTTTTCCGTAGATCCCAAGTAGTATCATAATCGATTTTGTGGTTATCAAGAATATGTTCACCCTTCATTAAACAAACGCTCGTATTGGTCGTTAGACAAAGTTTCAGGTGAGTAAATTCATTTATAGTAATAACATTGGATGCGTAATGAAAACGGCTCACTCATTTGATCCATGCAAGAAATTTGACAACATTTTTTAGATCAACTAGATATCCTGTGAATACAAGCATTACCACGCACAATGAAGCTGAAACTAAATTGGCAACACCTAAACAGAGAAAATATATATGAATTAAACAAGTATTGATTATAAGAATCTTACCTATTGTTTCGACACTTGACGAAACAAAAGAAACACACTGATTCAGAACAAACAGCTGCAGCAAATATATTTAGTTGATATATGAGAAATTTTTCAATAGTTCATTGAAATCGAATCATAAAGTAGGATATTAATGAGCTCCGTCGAGTTCACCAAATCACAGAATAGATGAAGTCACTACAAATTAATGGCACTCTAGATTTATGGAACCAGTTGCTTGCTACTTAAGTATTATAGGCTTTAAATGGATATGAACGCTGAGTGTTGATATGGCAGTCGCTACAAGGGAAGAGACAGTCACATTCACAATAGCATTAGCAACATTTCACTACAACACCAATCCAAAAATAACATTAATACATAACTGTAACCTCACCGGTTATTAATAATGAATAACATTTCTCATTCGCCTGCTTTTTTAAATCTTAAAATATCTGACAATCTACCTTAGCCTCTGAATTTAGCACAAAAATTAAGTTCTTTTGGATCATTCAAGTAGATAAAGATATTTCTTGTTTACATACTATTTTATTCGGTCAAAGACGTTGATTTTAACAATATTCTAGTAAGAAAAGTTCACTAATTGTATGTCATACTATAGTTTTTTTTAATTTTAGGTACATTTCCAAGATCCTAAAACAGTTAGCCTCAGTTAGAAAAGATTAGAAGCATACTGAGGAAATATGAAGAGGTAATAAACAAATAGCATTGTTATAGACTTTCTCCATTCGTTTCGATTAATTGGAATTTTAGACCGATAACCAAATATAATTAATACGTATGAGAATTTTCACGGTTTCTTTATTTGTTGAGAAAGAAATCGAAAAAAATGTCGACATATTTTCCTAATTTATAAATGAACAAACCAACGTCGTAATAAGTATGTAATACGACAAACAGTCAATTATATGCATTACAAAAAAAAATACCATGCTATTAAAGTGTTATTGTCATTGAAGAATTGCCGAAAATATTATTCATGCATATATTGTAAATCAGATTCATTGCAAACACGGTAGAAAATCGAGATTGGCCCGTTATTTAGCCTTGGCAATGGATATAATTCCGTATAACGTACAAACATAAATATAATCATTTTGATTGTGCTTGTAAATTGAATATAAGCTGCACGATTACACTCGTAAATATGTTCACCAGAACGCTGCACATCGTTAACATACCAAAAAATATATATTGTTACTGGAGCACAAAAACCTTCAATTATCCAGCGTTTCATTCTCATTCGAGTAATTCGACCGATGTTCAATGTGTATGTCGAAACTAGAGCAGCAATTAAATAAATAAATCCCAATTGAATTTCTATGATAAGAATTCTAATATAACGACGCACTAGAGTATCATATGATCCTTCTCGCATATTTAATTCTTCGTCGTTATCATATTGCTCGTAGTCGAAAAAATAACGACGACAAAACATCCATATCGCCATCATATATGGATACAACAAAAAAATGATCATTGCTATTGGCATCAACAAAATCACTAAAAAGCCATAGTGTACATCTAACCACACTGACTCGTAATCACGACAGTGGTAGTCAAACTGTTGCATGCTATTAGTTACCACTGTTAGGAAATAATTGAATCACTTAAGAGAACTAATAAACGATATGCATTGATCGATCAATGATAACAGGATGACATTTACCTATCTTTTTATTTTTCTCTGCTATTGTGTTGCCTATTGGCAAAAGCTTGACCTATTCACCGCTATTAGTCAATGACAAAATGACAATCAGATTCAACAATACACAATTAATGTAAACCATTTATATTCTAAATTCAACATACTGGCAGCGCAGATAGGACAAGCCAAGAAATATATTTGGGTAATCTCAACTTTGGCCGAAAGGAAAAACGCCGAAAACAATAAAGTCGAAAAGAAAAACTATACTAATGTCGAAAGGTAAAATGTCGAAAAATTAAAAAAATGGTACTAATTTAAATAAGCAAAACCATCGTAGGTGATAGTTTATGAAAGCCAGTCTCCAGGAATGGATGGAAAAAGAAAGAAAGGGAAAAATATCGAAAATAAAAATGTCGAAAACAAGAATATGAGATGAACATGAGCATGTAAGATTGAATTGAGGGTGAGGGAGACTTGTACTTCAATATACTCTCGTTTTCAGCATTTCTATCCATCTGCATGTGTATCAATTTTATTTTCGACATTTTTCTTTCGACCAAAGTTGAGAGAATCATATATTTGTACTGATATTGACATAATCTCACGCTGACCTGTCATTATTCTTTTCCTCTTTATTGTTCTTTTCTGTGTTCATCTCTTTCATGCGACGGCAATCTAGTTAAAAAGAAGCTTACCACCACCCCTCGGTAATGTCCGTTTCGCTACTTCAAGTTATACACATGCTTACATGAGAGTGAGCAAGAGAGGGATGAACAAAAAGAAACAATAGTAAGATTAAATAAGGTGGAAAGATAGGGAGCGATACCAATATTGGCAACATATTGAGTGTGTGGTTTACCGAGCGTCGGCTCTGTTATTAGAAAATGTATTCGTCACGTGTGAAATAAGCATGACTTGAAAATTCAGAAAGGTGACTAAATGTAATTCATGTACTGGCGAAACATCAACACACATTGTTCAATAACAATTCCAGGCACAATTTTTATGCTTAGAGACTATTGAAAACAGAAGTCATTGTCTTATATTGAGTATCATTAGAATAGATAATTACGAATATGGCAAGATTGATGCGAGTTCGATTAAAGTTAATCTTCGTGTTCAATTATCGTTTGTAAATTGATTTACAATTGTAGTAAGTCAAGTCGAATACTTAGTATTTAACAAAGAATGCAATGCATCTGATTTAAGGCGATTTATACTGAACCTGTATTCGGCAAATTAATATTCGAATCGATTATTTTTCTTAATATACCCGTGCCACATTATTACCCAATAATATTCCGATGATTGGCCTTTTTGATAGTTTATTTTAATAAAACATTGTTGATGAACTTAATAGTTTATTGAAAAGAATGCATTAAAAAGATTCCTCCGTATAACATAGAGAAAAAAATAACGAATCCAACTAGATGAATGCAATAGTAGTACAGAATTAAAGCTGCTTTAATATCAGATAATACTTTTTTCATTACATGCCATATAAGTCCTATTAAAAAGGTAACAAGTATATTATAACGCCACGAAAATGTTGAATCCATTAGACTGTCAACAAAACCTTGATTTATTATAATTAGTTAATGTTGTTATCAATGTCCACGATTGTAATGGTATAATACTCTTCCGCATGAATATTATTTGATTTTGATATATGCTAATACCTATCACCATATAATTCAACTGGCTCAATCTATCATGACAACATTTGACCAAACTTAATATAATTAATGATGATACTGAAATAAGATACAAGAAAATACGAATCGTTGGCGAAATATTTGATAAATTTTCAACAATATCACTATATGACGTCTAAAATGTAATTTACTAAATACACTGCTAGGGAAAATAGTATAAAAAATCTTGCTGCAGTGGCCATTGAGTTGAAAATTATATTAAAATTTGATTTTAAATTACAATAACTTATATTTCAACCTGATAGATTGTTTATAGAGGAAAATTTATAAAATTTAAAATTATGTAGATCAGAGACAAGATAAAATTGAAGTAAATATTTTTCTTCACATTTCAATTTGTTTATTGGCAAACACCGTGGAATGGATAACATTCATAGTATTCAACAACATAATGGTGTTTTGTGCATCGAAAATAGTAATCTAGCCCACATATTACGTTTGATCATGATAGAATTTCTGACCCGAATTTGATCGCTAATCCCAATCTTTTTAAGAACAAAGCCAATATGTATATGTTTGTTGTACAGCGTCCTTTCAGCTTATCGCTATATAGCTTCCGAAATAGAGTTATCGTCGCTCTGGATTTCTACCAATGTTTTATTAAAAATTAATAAATTCTCATGGTTTGAAATTAGTGAGTAGTGCACGTCATACTAGTCGAAGTTGAGCCAGACAATTCTCATGAATATACCTCAATTAACCAACTAATGTAAAAGCCTGATTAAGTCGCATAACGTAATTAAAAGAGATTTTGTTTTTAAAGTTAATAATATTGTTCAGATTGTTTGAATAACAAAAATTTTTCATTTAAAAATAAATTCTGTTGAGATTTATTGTCTGTAATCTAAATAAGATGGATTAAATTATATTTTGAAAAATTTTCCTAGCATTGCGTTTATGTCCAATTCAAACAAAAACAGTTGCACACTCGATTACTACTATTATCCCTAATAATTACATCCTCATTAGAATAAACTTCTGGAAGCCTATTTGACTTGAAAAGTACTACTGTCGTTCAGTGACACCCTTACCATCGCGCGTATTCGCCTATTCGATAGACCAATCAAGTATGAAGGATGTCATCACACTCTAGAATAGAATAGCATAGCTACTATATTAATAACAACTATTCACAATGACTAATTAGCTGCGTATCGATAATTGTTATCTTAATTCAGATTAAACCTCCTTCATTACTAAAATAACTGATATGTGAGCTACTTATTATTTTTAATCATTCTCGATTGCAAGAATGATCTATTCTTAATTGTGCATTGCAAAAAATATCCGTGTTGTTGTAAGTTGTGATACATCTACATTTAGAATCATTGTATCAATTATAATATCTATAGACTATCTGATTTGTATTTGTCACAGAAGAACAAATTTTTAAGCTATTAAATAATTCATTTGAATCTTTTATTTTTCTAGAATAAATAAATCCCAAAATATAATGATGTTTGATAGTTTCACACGTCGTCGCCTATTATTCTTTCTGTTCGCTATATTATTTGTTATATTAAGTATTTTATTTTTTGCTCGTATTGTCCCATCATATTCAAAACATTCATCAATGAAAAATAGCGATGAACAACTCACAAGCGAATGTTATTTAAGTGAACCAGTCGATGTATTAACACTATGTCAAAAATGTACACTCTATGAACGTCGGTCAAAAGCAAAAGCTTGTTTACCAACTGGTTATAAAGAATTAATACTTTGCTCAAAATCAAATATAAAAACAATTCGTTCATGTCCAATGCCTATTCATGTTCAAAGACAAAATTTTTGGTTGTTCGAAAGTGTTATGTTTATATTTGCATTATTCGCTATGGCGAATGTTAATTTTCGTCAAAAAACATTAGATAAACAAATGATTGAGAGAATAAAAAGACAGATTGGTGAAAATGATGAATGATTGACTTATGTTGAATTTGTATCTCAGTTTCAGTGCAAAAAAATCTTTTCTGTAAATAGTAGGATGAACTATATTTTTTTGTGTTTTAAGTGAATAAATATTTAATCGATAATAACAAAGGTACATTTATGATAACAATATTTTGAAATCATGAATTTTGAATCGAGTTTTTGAAAAAACTATGTCTCCAGATAAAAAGGGTTGGTTTGATTTCATTGCAAATAAATCTTTTGAAAAATGATTTAAGAGAAATTCTGATTAGGCTTCCAAGTAAGTAAGTATCGAACGTGAATTGTTATAATTCGAAAAAAAGTATTTGTCATAGTATTTCTTCGACACGTCTTACACTGAATAGATGTCATGACGTTATTCTCGTATTAGAAAGTGAAGATTATGCAACGCCTTTTACCAGGTTTGAAGCTATTCTTATCGTGACCCTTCATTTAAACAATAGGCGTGTGAGGCTCTACTAGCCTAACAAAATCTATTATAATCAGTATCTTTTTCTTGTTTAGATAGTTATCTATTATTCTCAGCAGAAATGTTGTTTGAGATATCTTTTCTATGTAAATTTATAGTTAAGATTTCTATTCATTTTGAAGTAAAATTGTGTTGCATATAACCCTGGTGTTCTTCATTCTTTTTCTTTCTTTCTACTTATTATAACAGCCACAGAAGGTAAAACTTGTTTAGTTGTTTCTATTTTCAATAAGAACCACTCGTTTTTCTTTGCAATATTCAAGTTGTGGTTTTTAACGATGCACATCTCAACATATTTCGCCTGTATTCTTCTTGGAATTACTCTATGCTATGGAGTTCCAGTTAAGAAATCGAATGGTTGTGGTTACGATGTGAGAGATTTTTATATTTGATAAGTGTGAATAAGTTATCCGAGCATCTTTTCATTACAGGCATGTAACTTAGGTGATCCAATGAAACTCAATGTTCATATGGTTCCACATACACATGATGATGTTGGATGGTTAAAAACAGTTGATCAATATTTTTATGGAGGTACTTTCAACGCTCTTTTAGAATTTCATTGAGAAGAATCCAAAGAAGCGTAAAGTTTTTTTTCCATAGATACCTATCATAAGACAAAGCAAAAGATGTCTTTTGACTTTCATTTATTGAAACCATTTTCCATCTATTTCAGCTCGTAATTATATACAACATGCGGGCGTACAATACATACTTGATTCAGCTATCCGTGCTCTCGATCAAAATCCTGATCGACGCTTCATCTATGTTGAAATCGGCTTTTTCTGGCGTTGGTGGAGTCAACAAACTGATGACATGCGTAATAAAGTGAAACAGTTTGTCAATGATGGTAATTTCTATTCATTGACTTTTTCTTAATAATCTTTGTCATTTCTAAACAAAAAAGGTCGTCTCGAATTTATTTCCGGTGGTTGGTGCATGAACGATGAAGCATCAACACATTACAATTCCATCATCGATCAACATAGTTTAGGAGCTGAATTTTTACGTGACAATTTCGGTGATTGCGGTCGACCTAAAATCGGTTGGCAAATCGATCCATTCGGTCATTCACGTGAACAAGCTTCACTTCTTGCACAAGTAAATTAGCTCCNTTCTAAACAAAAAAGGTCGTCTCGAATTTATTTCCGGTGGTTGGTGCATGAACGATGAAGCATCAACACATTACAATTCCATCATCGATCAACATAGTTTAGGAGCTGAATTTTTACGTGACAATTTCGGTGATTGCGGTCGACCTAAAATCGGTTGGCAAATCGATCCATTCGGTCATTCACGTGAACAAGCTTCACTTCTTGCACAAGTAAATTAGCTCCTTTTATAGTCATTTGAGCATGTTCAAAATAAACAAACGAATGTTTATTTTAGATGGGTTTCGATGGTTTATTTTTTGGTCGTTCTGATTATGAAGATTACGCAACGCGTAATAGAACAAGAACCATGGAAATGGTTTGGAAAGCAAGTGCTAATTTGAGTGAGTTGTAAACAATGTTGACTGTTGGTTTAGTCTTTCTGTGATTGTGGGATAAAATAAACATTGATGTCAATTTAAGATAAAGATGGTTGGTTGTTTACCGGTGTTTTACCCAACGGATATGGTCCACCCGATTCTTTCTGTTATGATGCTTTTTGTGATGATGCACCAATTATGGTTAGTTGAAATGCGTTTAAAACTTTGTTTTTTTTCTGACATGCATATGATTTAATCTGTTTATTTATACGCTACTCGGCTTCTATTTTCTAGATCTTTATCTGCAGAGAGAGAGAGATCCTATTTTAATTTTTTTTTGTGAAAGAATCTGAAATTTTATACTTGCATGTTCACTTTAGGATGATCCACGATTACATGATTACAATGTTCCAGAACGTGTTCGAACATTCATTCGAGCAGCACAAAATGAGGTCAGCGCAAAACGATAATTCTATGCTTATGTGCTATTCAACTACAAGATCAATAAGGCACTTATTTAAGTAGCAAAGAAAAAACTTTAGAAAAATCGATTCATCTCTAAAGTCTAGAGGAATGATATTGAGATTAAATTTCGATTTTCAAATGATTTATTCAAATTTCTTTATTTGAAAACTTTCTTGTTTTACTAGGCTGTTGGTTTTGCTACAAATCATATTATTATGACTATGGGTAGTGATTTTCAATATGAAAATGCAAATGAATGGTTCAAGAATATGGATAAACTAATAAAATATGTAAATGCTGAAGTATGTTCGTCTACCTTTATTGTTTTTCTCATTAAAATAATGCATTTAATAAAATTCATTTATAGCAAGTGAATGGTAGCAACGTGAACGTTTTCTATTCGACACCATCGTGTTATTTATATGCGTTGAACAAGGCCGGTCACAATTGGACATCGAAATCTGATGATTTTTTTCCATATGCTCATCATCCTCATGGATTTTGGACTGGCTACTTTACATCACGTGCAGCTTTCAAAGGTTATGAACGCCATTCAAACAATATTTTACAAGTTACAAGACAACTCAATGCATTTGCTAATTTGAATTTACGAAATAGCATTTTTTATTTGAGTGAGAATATTTGGCTTTTAAATTTTAACTTGAAAGATTTTTTCGATTATGAATCATAGGTGAAGCAATGGGCGTTGCTCAACATCATGATGCTGTTAGTGGAACAGAGAAACAAGAAGTTGCTTTTGATTATGCTCAACGATTGTCCGATGGTATTAATGTAGCTTCAGTAAGTATTCGAATGAAGATTTATAATGATTTTAGAAAAATGAATGACTACCGAATATTTATTCATTGGTATTTGTTTTAGGGAATTATAAATCAAGCTTATTCAAAACTATTACCTCTTAACAGTCAATCACCACCAACGTCACCTCAATTTCTCTGTCAACTGACAAATATCAGTGAATGTGTACCTATTCAAGATCAACAACGTGTAAGCGTTCGTTCATGTGTCTTGTTTTATCCCTTTTCTTTCTCTTATCGCATAGTTCACGGTAACAATCTGGAATCCAACTGTACATTCAGTTCTTCATCATTTCCGTGTGCCCGTTACAAGAGCTTATACAGTTCGTGATTCAACAGGACAACCGATTTTGGCTGAGGTGAGAGAGACAAGCAAAATAATTACATTAACCATTGTGATTTTTAATTGTTTTCAGCTATTTCCTGTTTCCAATTCCACAAAGAAAATACCTGGCCGTGTTGGTACTGCTACAAGTCAATTAATATTTAGAGCTAATTTACCAGCGCTTGGGTTCAGCACATATTTCTTTGAAGCCAGAAGTAATTTTTGTTTAATATTCAATATCACAAAAATAATTTGTTCGATTCTAGCATTAGTAAAACGTGAAAAACCAAAAGTAAAAATTACTCCCAATGATGAATGTATTCTTCAAAATCAGGTTGGAAAACAAAAAAACAACAAGCATGGTACACTTTTCTATGATCTCTTTTCATTGTAGAATATTCGAGTTGAAATCGATGCTCAAGGCAATCTTCAACATATCATTAATTTGAAACAAAGTATTGCTGTAGCATTTTCAAATCAAGGTTTCTATTGGTATCAAAGTGAGTTAAATCTGTCATTGATTGATTAATTCTATTCGTTTTCTTCTTCTTATCATGCAGGTTTTCCGGGTAACAATTCTCAATCACAATTTCAAGCATCTGGCGCTTATATCTTTCGACCACTATCACCAACTGCACAACCAGTTAGTCAAGCGCGTTCCATGTAAGCGTTTTTGTTTTATTGTAAAGGAATTTTCTCTATTGACTTGTTACGTATTCTCATTTATATAGTACATGTATCAAAGGAGATAATGTTCAAACAGCAGTTATTGTTTTCAATGATTGGACAAGTCAAGAGATCAGTTTATACGATGAAGGAGAATTTGTCGAAGTTGAATGGACAGTTGGGCCTATTCCAATCGATGATAATATGGGTAAAGAGATCATTATTCGCTACGATACGGATATCAATAGTCAATCGAAATACTATACGGATGCAAATGGACGTGAAGTTCTTGAACGAACAAGAGACTATCGACCAACATGGAACTATACAGTTGTAGAAACTGTCAGTGGAAACTATTATCCAATCAATAGTCGAATATGGATCAAAGACCAAAATCGACAATTGACTGTTCTTACTGGTAAAAGAATAAAACTACTTTTATTTCGTTTTTTATCAAAGAAACGAAAACTTTTAATCTTGTTATTTTTGTAGATCGATCAGAAGGTGGTGGTAGTATTAGTGACGGTTCTATGGAAATAATGGTGCATCGTCGTACTCTTAATGATGATTCTTTGGGTGTTGGTGAACCTTTGAATGAAACTGCGTATGGTCAAGGTCTTGTTGTTCGTGGTCGACATATTCTTAGTCTCCAAACACCTGAAACAAGTGCTGTCCATCATCGCGTTGCTGCTCAACATTTATACATGCATCCATTAACTAGTTTTTCATTAATTCCACAAGATTATTACAATTATTCAGCTGCCTATCGTCAAACATGGTCGGCATTAACAGATACACTTCCATTAAATGTTCATTTATTAACATTAGATCAATTAGGACCAAAAGATTTTCTTGTTCGCGTTGAACATTACTTTGAATTATATGAAGATGATACGTATTCAAAACCAGTTACATTCGATTTGCAATCAATATTTAAAGCTATAGGAACAATTAGTAATACAGTTGAATTAACGCTTGGTGCTAATTTAGAATTAGCTGATTTGAAAAGACTTGATTGGGTAACTAACGGTGAAAGTTCGTCGACAAAGAAGACTTCAAGTAAATTATTTTCCAATAAAGAAAATTTTCTCTTATTTTAATCAATATTCTTTTCGTTTTTTTTAAGAAGAACGATCATTAGACGATACAAATATTACATTGAATCCAATGCAAATTCGAACATTTAGTGTAGCACTAGCATAAATGATCAGTTGAAGAGCAAATAAAACATGAACAGTGATTTAATATTCATTTTGTTTCGATAGCGTACATATATATTTTTATTTATGCGTCTTTTTTTAAATAACTTAAATCAATTAGTATGAAAGAAAAATAAATAATAATTGAAAAGATTCATTTTCTCTTTTACGTAGGTGTAAATGTACATCACATACAACGTAAATATTTCTAATAAATATAAGAAGGAAAAAAACAACCAACTATTTAGAATTTTATTTCACCTGCAATGAAGATGAACTCGTATTATGTGTGAGATCTTAGAAAGATGTTTAGATTGTGAAGAGCATTGAGAAATATATTTTCCTCTGAACGGAAGCAATGGAATTCATATTTTTGATAGGTTTTGCTATTTTAAAAGTGTGACGTAACGAAGTATTTATTACAACTTAGTTTATTTTTTTTTCAAAAACCTCACTTTTTACGTTCGCCCTTGATGAATAGGGGTGGCACGTTAACTTTAACATTAAGGCAAAGTTAACGTGCCCCCCTATTGATGAACAGAATAAATCATTAAAAATTAGATTATTTCCTGAACAATGATCTATCAACCGTTAAGCAGTTTTTCTTAGCAATGAATCGGAATTTTACAAACTTATGAGCCATTTAAATTTCATTTGTAACAATAGATTTTAACATATTGATAACGCGGAGATGAAACTGAATACTCGATATACTTTTAGAAATAATGCATGTTAAGGATCTCTTTTTGTAGGTTTTACTCCAGATTAACAGTGTAGATGTCCATAAATCTGAATAAAAACGCAATTATATGACAATAGAGCTTATTTAATGAATTTTATGCATGATTTCATCAATAATAGATTGTCGTGTATTATTGTCAATTTTAAATTATTCAATTACGTAGAATAGATCCTATTATGATGATAATTGCACTATTAATTTGACGGTAACTGAGTAAAAAACCGTTCTGAGGTTATTGTTAACCAATGCAAAATAATGTTACTATGTGAAATGTTTTAGACATTTTTTTATAGCTTTTCTCATGGCAAAAGAGTTCTTCTTCTTCTTCAGTATGTTTCTGTTCAAGTATATTACACATATCCGGGAGTGGCCATGAAATTATTTGCAAAGATTTTCTGCACAATATGGAAATATGAGAGAGCAATATTTACCGGTAAAACGGAGTCTGAATCTCATCTTGTTTTTTCCCGTGTGAAACATCTGTAAAAGTTGTCATTCAGTCCATATATCGATTAAACGTTATAAATATTTTCCAAGCTTCTTCCGTTACGGAATAACACATTTTTAACGATATACTCAACATATTTGAAGTAGATAACACTTTACTTCTTATGTGTACATTACTATCTTCTATTATAGTCTTTGAGTAAAACTAGGATCGACTTTAGTGAAACGATAATTAATTCTTTTATCTCAGTTAGCTTATTCAAAAAAAAACTGGAAATTGACAGTAATTACACATGTAATTATACAAAATTAGTAAACATTCATATTACTCTAAGAAGTACCTCTATAAATATGCAGTTTCCTGGACTTCAGCATGATCTACTTCCTTGCACATATTGCCTTCATCTACTAGTAGTAATCGTTTTCATCTTTAGTTAAAAGAAGAGTTATTCTTTGATAATTATTTATAATGCAGTCTGCACAAAATGTCAGGATTTTTCGATGACGACAAGCCAGGTTGTTCTATTAATAATTATTCATTCTCTTCGACACAAGCTGTACGATGATCGGATGCAGATGGTGTGTCGAAGAAATTTGAGCTGAGCTTTTCACTGATGCTCTAAGATTTCATTATTTTATTTTTTTAGGATGTAGAAATGAAAATAATTATTTTATAAGATCACGCTAGACAAGAAAGTTGATGAGGTAAGAATAGAAGAAAACTTTTTTTGTGGAACAATATCACGTGAATGTCATGGATAAAAGTAGCATTTCTATTTTAGAAACTCTAAGTAATAAACTGAAGAGCAATCTTATTAATTTGTCTAGTAGAAAAAGAAAAATTACGTCTACTCACGTAATAAAATAGACATTGATATGTCAGCATACAACATTTCAACAATGGCTCAACTTTCACAGGCAATAACTATTTACTTGGGCTCAACAATATGTATTGTAGGAATTATAGGAGGATTTCTGAACATCCTCGTATTTCTTACTCTTCGAACATTCAATGAAAAATCTTGCGGATTTTATTTGATTGTTATGTCATTTGTTAATATTGGTAATTTAACGACAGGCCTACTTTCTCGCATTCTTATCAGTGGATTTCATCTTGATTGGACGTTGATTTCGCCTTTTTACTGCAAATTCAGATGGTATGGTCTTCAATTCGGTGTGCTGACTTCTTTTACATGTACATGTTTGACAGCAATTGATCAATATTTGTCCACGAATAGACGAATTGAATGGCGTCGATGGAGTAGTATCAAACTGGCCCATCGTGTAATGGCTGCATTCATTATTGTTTGGCTTCTTCACGGCATTCCATATTTAATATATTTTGATTTAGTTCAATCACCAATTACAGACAAACTAGTTTGTGCCAGTGTTAATAAAATCTTACAATATTATCATACTTATGGCTATCTTATTCTTTTTGCAGGAATCATACCTCTTGTTATTACGGGTATTTTCGGTCTTTTAGCTCGCAGAAATGTTCGACATACGGTAAATGGGACGATATCTCTTGTTCAACGTTATTTAGATCAACAATTAACTAAGATGGTTCTTAGTCAACTATTCTACAATTTTATTTTTACTTTTCCATATACAATGTTGACAACGATTATGTCTTTTATTCCTGCTGTAAATGACTCACTAATAAGCACAAGATTAGATTTTGCAAATGTTATGACCATACTTGTATATTATATGAGTTTTGCGGTAATTTTATAATTCATTTTTATGCTTTACTAAGTAACAGTAATGGTGTTCTTATTTCGTTTTAGTCCCCTTTCTGTATCTATACTTGTACATCAGAACGATTTCGCCAACAATTGACCTATGTACTATTAGATGTTCATCTCAAACGATGGCGGCGAAGCCCGAGCATCATCATCAATGCAATGGCATCAAGTCAAGTAGAAAAGGGTGAGACTTCAGCAGTCTGAAGTACGAGTGAATTATCGTATTTCATTATGGTACTGAAATATTTCTTTTCTCTCTCTCTCATACATCAGCTCTTCATGGGAATCTTCGTAAAAATGCCCCAATTTTTGTTTCATGTAATAAATCATGTTGTGTTGTACGCAAAGTAGTGATTTTAAAATAATCAGTAGCTATTGCTTGTACTGAAAAGAAAATCTTTTAGCTATTGTGAACAACGATGCATGAATAAATTAATTATATATTGTTTCTGTATGAAATATAGTTACATTTTAATTTTATCATATTCTATTTGGAAAAAAGAAATCTTCTTACGCAGCCCATTAGCAAGTAAAATGCTGTTCAACAGTCTGAAATGCTTGTTATTCGGATATAACAAGCTGCAGAAAGATTCGAATGGATATTAGGAGACTATGACAGAATTGATGGCACTAGATAGTAATTAGAGAATGAGTTACTCAACTTCTAATAGTATAATGTACCTTTGGTGGAGTGCACAAGTAGCATTTTATTTATACTATAGCTTGTCGAAATGCGTGCATGGATTGTACTGAATATGCTGCTTTTGTATTAGGTTATAACAACCTGCTCAGCCAAATTTTTTGCTTTTAGATTTTTGTATATATCCTCCTATCGATAGATATCATTTATTTTAGACGATAGCGAGAATAAACGGTATTATCTAGACAAAATCAAGTAGTTATTGAGTTAAAATGGCGAAAAAAGAGGCTTGCTGTTTACTATTATCCGTTCCTGAAGTCAAGGCAGTCGGTTGTTTTTGAATAACGTTTGATAGGAACAAGATAGAGACCTGCGGTTTTCACTGTCTGATAGCCAAGACCCAGACGCATATGTTCATAAGCAAAATAGTTTCTAAGGAAAAATCTGAAGACCGGTTTTTCAGAGGATCACTGGAAAACCACTCTGGATTTCTGGTAAGTGTTATAGAAGTGTATAGATTTTCTTACACATTCGGAATCAGCATTAAAAACTGAGCCGACCAATACGTATTTCGAATCTTTCACGAACTTTTGTTTTCGTCGAGAGATATTCACCCCTGTGGTCTCGCTCAGGAGTCGGTCAAAAAGTAAATTCCATCAAAATTCCATTTGGACAGTAGGAAGCAGGTTCCAAGTTTGTAGAATGCTGTTAGAAACCAAATTGGTAAATGAATAATCAACAAAAACAGCATTTTGATGGAATTTACTTTTTGACCGACTCCTGAGCGAGACCACAGGGGTGAATATCTCTCGACAAAAACAACCGACTGCCTTGACTTCTGGAACGGATAATAGTATACTTTTAAAACTACTTCATCATTTAAAAGGATGGAAATAATCGTAGTATCATCGAATGTTGAACTACAGTTTGACATCAATGTATTTCCTATTATTTTGACAATAGCCGTAAAAGTATGCGTCAAACAAAAAACCTACCAGTGGATGATTGTAATGTTTTCACGGTAGATCTGTATAACAGCGAACTTCAAACCAAGAGTCTTACTATCGTAAAGTGTGTTGCCTTAGTCAAGAACACAATTAAAAATATTTTGCTCTGAACGAGAAAATTTCTTGATGAGTGAACTTTTGTGAAATGTACTGATGAAAAAGGTCGTTTTGGATGAGCTAGTCAACACGACTTTCTATCTTTCTAGTGTAATCACGGTGCAACCAAAAATTTTCAGTAAAACTAAAAATGTTACACATCTTACTGTAACATAAGTTTCAGCCCATTGCGATGCTAAAATAATCAGCTATGACAAGCCAATAAATTTTCTGTAGTGGTGGTTGAAGATAAGATGATTGCGCAACACTTCTTGACTTGTTGTGATTGAAAATAGAACTATTCTACACGATAATTTGGAAGACATTCAACCCACTCTATGATTCAAAAAAAAAGAAAGTTTGTTGGATTGTTAAAAATAAATGAAATATACAAATGTTTGTATGATTACGTGTTCCCATACTGTTGAATTTTGATACATGAAGGTATCGAGGACAAGTTTTGTATTATCTTACTAATCATTATTCAAAATCAATATAAGATTTCGTATATTGCAAAACCGGATTGTGACTACTTTTAAAATTAATTCAATTTTTTATTAGTATTATAGAGCATCAATGAAGGCAAATCGAATAGTTCGTGTTTTTTCTGAACAAGACATTCAGTGGAAACTTCATGTTTTCATTCATAACGGTCTTTAACAAAAAAGTCAAAGCGATCGTTTTTTTCCTGCTATATTTTATTGTGAAATAGAAAATAGCACTGTTAGATCAATCTTCTAGTGACAGTCGACTATCTATTTTTATCTCTTTTTGTCTTTCTATTTATTTTTCTTATCTTCTATTATAAAATAAAACCCTCTGACATGTAAAGTAAACTTTGAATGATAATATCTGTTGCACACAAATTCATAGGTAACATCAGCTTATAGATTCTTTTTCGTTTTGCAATAACCTACAGTACACGCGCCAGTGTTCTCTATTCTTTTGCCCTGTTACAGCCGCATACCGCCAACCGAAGGAAAAATTGTGTCTTTTTAACACAAAGAATTCGCTCGCGTTTTTTGAACTTGAGGTTTTCTTTTAAACAATGCAAACCTTAACATATTGCGGACTAATACTTCTTATTGTTGCCAGTTGCTGCTTTTCAGTCCCAATCAAGCAATCCAATGGATGTGGTTATGAAGTGAGAATAACTGAAAAATGATTTGTTGACTATATTGATCATAATCTCCGTTTTCAGGCATGCAATTTAGGGGACCCAAATAAACTTAATGTTCACATCGTGCCGCATAGTCATGACGATGTGGGATGGCTGAAAACAGTCGATCAATATTACTACGGAGGTGTGTAACTATATTTGGTATTATTGTTGTATTCTATGATTATGAACCAGACGATATTTTCTTACAAAGAAGAGTACTGAACAAAATGAAATATGCAACATATTTTTTATCTTTCGAGAAACACATGCACAACCCTCATGACAAATTTCATCATAAAAAGAGTAAAACAAACTGTATAGGTTGATGAAGTTTTCATATTAAAACAGAAGGTCACAACGTCTATACTGTGTATAGCAAGATTTTTATTTTCTTAGTCTTTTATAATTAAAAAACTAGATATTGGCTTGAACCGAATTGAAGATGATTGAAATATTTCCCATGAGAAAAATATCATGTTTCTTTTTCGTTAAGCTCGCAACGATATTCAACACGCGGGAGTACAGTATATACTAGATTCAGTAATGATGGCACTTGACGAAAATCCAGATCGACGTTTCATCTATGTTGAAATCGGCTTTTTCTGGCGTTGGTGGAATCAACAGGCAGATGATATGAAAGCTAAAGTGAAACAGTTTGTCAATGATGGTAATTTCTATCCATTGACTTTTTCTTAATAATCTTTGTCACTTCTAAACAAAAAAGGTCGTCTCGAATTTATTTCCGGTGGTTGGTGCATGAACGATGAAGCATCAACACATTACAATTCCATCATCGATCAACATAGTTTAGGAGCTGAATTTTTACGTGACAATTTCGGTGATTGCGGTCGACCTAAAATCGGTTGGCAAATCGATCCATTCGGTCATTCACGTGAACAAGCTTCACTTTTTGCACAAGTAAATTCGTTTTCTTGTACAACCGTGTGAGCATGTTCAAAACAAACAAACGAATGTTTATTTTAGATGGGTTTCGATGGTTTATTTTTTGGCCGTGCTGATTATGAAGATCGCGCAACACGCAATAGAACAAAAACCATGGAAATGGTTTGGAAAGCAAGTGCTAATTTAAGTGAGCTTGAAATAGATGGCTATGTTTTTAGTTTCGATATATTTGCAAGACAAATTGAAAATCTATCTCAATTATAGATAATAAGGGTTGGTTGTTTACTGGTGTTTTACCTAATGGGTATGGTGCACCGAGTTCGTTCTGTTTTGATTACAGATGTTCAGATACTCCTATCATGGTCAGTATGAATTTTCGTGGATTTACTGTTTCTTTCGCTTCGGAAAAAAGAGTCATTTTCTGACATGCAGCTAATTTTATTATAGAATTTCTCGTTAAAACAAAACGAAGAACACGTTTTGATTATCTGTGAAGTGTGGCATAGCGCTTCGTAAAATATCTTCTTCTAATTATTTCATGAAACTTCTTTTTTTTTGATAAATGTAGTACCTACCTCTTCCAAGCTTAGTTTGTAGCAAAATGGAGAAATATTATGTAAATCTGTACATTTATTTTTAGGATGATCCTCATTTTCAAGATTACAACGTCGACGAACGTGTTCGAACGTTCATTCAAACTGCTCATGATGAGGTTTGTGAGAGCTTATAAATAGCGAACTGTGGTAAAGCACCGACCGTAAAACATTGCGTGACGTAGCTACTTGTTTGATTGGAAGGAAAAGAGAAGTATTTTTAATTTTCATTGCATCGAATTCATTAAATGAAGCGTATGAGAAAAAAACATTTATTTCAATGGCCTAGTTAGTTAGAACGGACGTAAATAGTGACTATACTCTTTCCTCGTCTATAGGCAGTTGGTTATACTACAAATCATATTATCATGACTTTTGGTGGTGATTTTCAATACGGAAATGCAAACGAAGGATTTAAAAATTTAGATAAATTGATGAAATATGTTAATGCTCAGGTAAATTTTTACAGTCCATGTTTCTTTCTGCCAAAATTAGCCATGGGTTTTATTTTTCATAAATATAAATTTAGCAAACGAATGGTAGCAATGTGAATGTTTTCTATTCGACACCATCATGTTATTTATATGCTTTGAACCAAGTTGATCGTGCGTGGCCGTCAAAAACCGATGACTTTTTCCCATACGCTAGCAATCCGCATGGATTTTGGACAGGTTACTTTACATCACGAGCAGCTCTTAAACGTTATGAACGTCATTCGAATAATATTTTACAAGCTACAAGACAACTTAACGCATTTGCTGATTTGAATTTACGAGATAGTATTTTCACTTTAAGTAAGAATATTTGATTTTTATATTTTGATTTGAAAGATTATGAATCATAGGCGAAGCAATGGGCGTTGCTCAACATCATGATGCTGTTAGTGGAACAGAGAAACAAGCAGTTGCTTTTGACTATGCTCAACGATTGTCAGATGGTATTGCTGTTGCCGAAGTATGTTTAAATACTATCAGCTCGTATGTTCAATCAAGAAATCATTTACATAAGTGAATTAAACAATGAATTAATAGAATATAGTGCATTTAGTAAATTCAGCTTTTCAAGATATTAGAACAATTGAAAGAGTGCTTCTTGATGGTTGTTTTTTGAAAATTGAATGCTGATATTTAAAGTTACTGTCATGCTGAAAACTCTATATTTATTCTGTTTGATTAGAATGTCATGAATCAAGCCTATGCTAAACTTTTGCCTAAAGATAGTCAATCACCACCACCGGCCAGTCAATTTCTCTGTCAATTATCAAACATTAGTCAATGTTTACAAGTCGATGGACAAGATCGAGTAAAGATACAATGAGTTTTTTTGCTTTTTCTCTCCATTTATTCTTTTTTTTTAAACAGTTTACATTGACACTTTGGAATCCAACAATTCATCCAGTTATGCAACATGTTCGTGTACCTGTTAGAACAGATTATACTATTCGTGACCCAACCGGACAAACTATTTTTTCTGAAGTACTCTCAGAAGGAATTCTAGGAATTTTTTTCTACTATTTTCTTTTTCAGTTATTTCCAATTTCAGAGCCAACTTTGAATATTCCAGGTCGAACAAGTATTACACAAAAACAAATTATATTCAAAGCTAGTCTACCAGCTCTTGGTTTTAACACGTATTATTTCGAAACTAAACGTAAGAGTCTTTTGAATATTTTTGTTGTTGTCATAGAAAACAAAAGTTATCTATTTTTTCTTTTGAAAGCTGATTCAGTCACATCAGGAGAATCCAAGATAAAAATCACACACAATGAAGAATGTGTTTTACGAAATCAAGTATGATAGAAACAAAATAATCAAACAGTTTTCTATTGTTCGTTGTGCTATTATTTTAGAACCTTCAAGTCGATTTTGATGATCAAGGCAATCTACATCAAATTGTTAATCTAAAACAAAATATTACTGTATCATTTTTAAATCAAGGTTTCTATTGGTATCAAGGTACATTGACAAATTTGATAAGAAAATTAGAATTTTAACGAATTCTGTTTCTATTTAGGCTTTGCTGGTAATAATTCTCAGCCAGATTTTCAAGCATCTGGTGCTTATATCTTTCGACCAGTATCACCAACTGCACAACCAGTTAGTCAAGCACGTTCACTGTGAGTGGCTCTTTTATTATGTCGATTGTTTTCTTGTGATTTGGAATTTTTATTTAGTACATGCGTAAAAGCAGTAAGTGTACAAACAGCAGTTATTGTTTTCAATGATTGGACAAGTCAAGAGATCAGTTTGTATGATGAAGGAGAATTTGTCGAAGTTGAATGGACAGTTGGACCTATTCCAATCGATGATAATATGGGTAAAGAGATCATTATTCGCTACGATACGGATATCAATAGTCAATCGAAATACTATACGGATGCAAATGGACGTGAAGTTCTTGAACGAACAAGGGACTATCGACCAACATGGAACTATACAGTTGTAGAAAATGTCAGTGGAAACTATTATCCAATCAATAGTCGAATATGGATCAAAGACCAAAATCGACAATTGACTGTTCTTACTGGTAAAAGAATAAAACTACTTTTATTTCGTTTTTTTATCAAAGAAGAGCAAACTTTTAATCTTGTTATTTTTGTAGATCGATCAGAAGGTGGCGGTAGTATTCTTGATGGTTCTATTGAGGTCATGGTGCATCGACGCCTTCTTTACGATGATAGACTTGGTGTTGGTGAGCCTTTGAACGAAGTTGCATATGGAGAAGGTCTTGTTGTACGTGGTCAACATTTTCTTATTGTTGAGTCGCCAACAGCAAGTGCGCGTTTTCATCGTATTGGTTCTCAACGTTTATACATGCATCCGATTGTTACATTTTCATTGACTGATCAAGAATACGTTAATTATTCAGCTGCCTATCGTCAAACATGGTCGGCATTAACAGATACATTGCCATTAAATATTCATCTATTAACATTCGAACAGTTAGGACAAAAAAATTATCTAGTTCGTGTTGAACATTATTTTGAATTATTTGAAGATGATACGTATTCCCAACCAGTAGCATTCGATTTACAATTAATATTTAAATCGCTAGGAGTAATTAATAGTACAGTTGAATTAACGCTCGGTGCAAATTTACCATTAGCTGAGTTACAACGACTGGAGTGGTTAACGGGTGATAAGGAATCATCTCGTATGGCTGTTTCGAGTATGTTGTGTATAGAAGAAGTCATTTTATGATACGAGATTTGTTTTTAGAAGAAGCATCATTGGAAGGTACAACTATTAGACTTACACCGATGCAAATTCGAACATTCGAAGTCACTGTGACATAGATGACTGCTAGAAAAGCATGTCTATCGAATATGGCTTAACAACGCTCGTCGTGTTTCCCTTATTTAGGACATATATTTATTTTTTCAATTTTGATTTTGTCTTCTTAAATTTTTTATTCAAAATCAACAAAGTAAACAAGTTTAAATAAATTGAAGTGTTTTTATTTGAGATAAAGAGCTATTTTGAGGGTGAAGATGTTGTTCGTACTGCAATTCGTACTCATACGTTTATCGAAGTTAATAGAAAGCTGCTGAAATTCTACGAGTCTCTAAAATTTTCTTCGTCACACATTATCTTAACTGTTTATGTTAAGAAGTCATCAAGAGACATTCGATCAGTAGCTTGGTGGTAGCTGAACAATTAGTTTGGCTGCATGGCAAAAGAGTACGCTATCAATATTTAGATGTGAATATGAAGTGGATCAAAAAACAACTTTTTTTGAGTTCATTTATTCTTTTTCTCTTATCAAGTTTAAGTTTGATGGTGTAGAATTACCTGTCGGTATATCAAAAAATATATTCTTAGAATAAATGAAATATTAATAATATATATGTTTTCCAAAGTTTTAGAAAGTATGTCAAACGCATTTCCACGTTTGATTTTTTAAAATACTGTTCCCTACGCTACAAATCCTATCATGTTGGTAATGTCTACTGTGTTCAATTTAACGATGTAAAAGAATATTTTTACAAATCAGACAAATTATATTAACACACAACTGTCATCATTGCCTGAAAAATAGAGGCATGCGGTTTCACAAAATTACCCGGAACCGGAACCGCGGTCCGTTACGGTTTCCAATCATTTCAAAACAGTGGTTCCTGTTTGGTTCCGAAAATTATTATACGGAACCGTGGAATCGTTTACCTACCGAAGTGTGGTTATGATATACAATATGCAGGATATTGACCATGCTTGTTGACCACAAAATTTGTATCTTCGCCTCAAGATCAGTATAGAATCACGTCTGACATGAGTTGCGAATCGTTTCTTTTTCAATAGTAGCTTGACAAAAACCTTCATGCAAGCGATTATATAAAAGAAACGGTTTCACGGTTCCTTTAGCGGTTCCCGAGTAATTTTTTCTACGGTTCCGGTTCGGATTCAATTCTCAAAAACTTTTCAAAGGCCGATTCCCGTTCGATTTCCGGTTCAATATTTTGTGGAGCCGCAGACCTCTACTGAAAAGGTTTACAAATACGACTCTCGTTTTATTAAAAAAAAACAATTTAGTAATTAAGCTACTAGTGATAATATGAATGTGTTCTATTTAGTGAAATTTCATTATTTATATTCTTCAAAGAAATTTGAGTATGCATGAAAAACAAAATAAGATCACTTTATTTCTGTATAATTATCATTTTGATAGATTTTAGGCAAATTTTTTGACATCACATAGGCTACCAGACAGCTAAATGCATGAGAAGACATTTTTTATTCTTGTTTTGAAATGAAAATTCTACTTAAAAGTTATGTTTTTGGAACCATCATGAAAGAGAATCTAATGAGTGCTATTCAACACATCATAATACAATCCAAAAACAAGATATAAACAACGATCATGCGTAACTATCGTCTGACTTTATTATTGTTGCAGAGATGAATCAACCAATGCGAGCTTTTTGGATAATAAGGATAAAATAGAGTACTGTATTCTTTATCTAATTCGCACGCCTTCACGTGGAAAATATTGTTATCTTTCGTGTTTGCCGGCGCGTTCAATTTAGCAGAAAAATTTCTTCTGTTTAGCTAATTTGAAATCCGATGACATTAGAACCTACTCGTTTTACTTTTAACTGTAAATTAACTGTTCTAATCCAACTTATATTCTCATTGGCAACCGATGCGAGTATCTATTTTAAGCACTAAACATATTCAATGCTGCTCCATCGAAGAGTTACATTACTTTCATCGCATTTATGTTCTTTTGATTTCTATTGAATCGTTCATTTCAACCAGCTGAAAGTCAACAACACATTGATTTATCTCATCATTAGAATAGACTTATCATCAATACTAATAGAATTTTCATTCAACACGGCCATCTGTCTTCCGATAAGTGTCGAAAAATTAATCGTGAACATTTTAGATTTATTAATGCATTCATGTCTTGAATTGAACAAAGAAAATTTCCCGTCGAAATACAACTGCATCAAATTAGTTGGTTTTTACAGACAGTTTAATAGCGCTTAGCTTGAATGCTAGCTGCTTTCAAGGAGAAAATAATCTTACCTGTTTTCTGATATTTATAATTAACAATAGAAGGCATATTTTGTCAGATAGGAGAGTGAAGTAGAAAAATGCAAGATTAAAGCAGCATTTCTCATCTGTATTAACACATATACTTAGATAGAATGTAATGATCTAATCAAGAAAATACATATTTTCAAGTTTTAAAAATAACTTTTCAGTAGAAAATCATCACCTTTTTGTTTTTGAAAGAAAAATTGCCTGTCCTAAAAATATCAGGCTCAATTTTTCACAACCGATGAATGTCGAACTTTTTTTTTTACTGCATATACAGTTCACAGCGATTGAATACGCTAAACTTAGAATGGGAAAGGAAATGGAATCATTCAGCCTTTATTGATAATGGATAATAGGCCTGATCGTTAGAAAATACCATTCATCTGTAAATCCTGATAATCTTCTGTACAACGATTGATGTAAAATAATTACTTGAGATTTCATATGTAGTTGATCAACTTAAAACGTGCTTGGCAAAGATATATAAAGAAAAACTTTTTTTTTCCTTTTGAATCTTTGATATTTCGTCACAAGTAAAAAGGAACTGCTCATGAATGCAATGTATCAGCACCAAGTTAAAAAACTGCACTAAGTTTTCTTTATCATTGAGGTTTTTCTGTTCATAATTCACAATCCGAATTTCAAATATCCGATGCATTTCTCTATTAGCATCCAATGCATTTTACCAGCTTCTCAAACAAGTCTGACGTAAACGTTTTTCTTTTTTGAACACGCAGACTTATTCGTTAAGTCACTTAGTCTCTATCTATTAAAGAGATAAAATCCTCAAACAATAGTATTGATTTTAATCAAATTGCGCAAGTCAATAAATAAATAGAGTTGAATAGACCGTTGGTTCTATTCTAATTGATGAAAACGCTCATAAACAAAATAATTATTCTTTATAATACTAATATTAGAAATCAATCACAATACTGTAGGGATGCAAATGAACTTTGAGCTCATGAAAGAAAAAGATATTATCAATTTGCATTGAATGAAACCTCTCATTACGTAGTGACTAGGAATTATTGTCCAATCAACAGTCTAATATATATTTATATATTAAAGATCAACGTCTACAAATTACTATTTCTACTATTCAGAAGAAATTACTCTGTTCTATAATATTAAGTTAGAGTAGTTAATTATTGTTCAAACCGATCGCGTGAGAATATCTATGTCCGGTGCTGATTATGAGCCTTGAATATGTAAGACTAAAGCTACATATTAAAAACTCGTCTTTATTCTCTATCCGAACATAACAACTAGTTGCCCTTAAACGATTCAAGCTCACAAAATCGATCAGGAAACTGGGCACATTTAAGCTAGGCACGAAAGTTATTAATAAAACGCACTGGCAAATAATATTTTATTAATTCTAAGCGCATCTTGTATACTTTTTGAACTTTTTGAAAAAATGATTCTGATGCTTTTTATTTTATAATATGTTTTCACTCTTTGCCATCTAGAAAAGTGTCGGATGACAGGAGAACTCACAGAATCAATTAGAAAGACATATTCCTTTTGCTTGTTTTTTTTCATTTCTCCATTTATATATTGGTTAAAATAATGCAAATTAATAATTATGGTTCATTTCCTTAACGTGAAATATCGGGCGCACGGTTTTTTGGACGATGAATATAATTGTATTTATTCAACTTTCTAAACCGCTCTTTTTTATCGTCGAAACTATTGTTAACTGCAAGACGATGCGTATAGCGTTGTATGCGAACATTTAAATGCAACTACACTGATTGAGGGTCGTGTTATTCACGAATGACATTATTCATTAGCTAAACAAATCTATGGTAGCAATTCAACTGCTTATAATCACACATAGTTAACATTAACAGATACATTCAGATTAAATATTCATCTTCTATGAGTAGTTATTAAATAAATTGGAAGCCAAAAGATCACTTCGTTCGGATCGAATTATTTAAAGACGATAGACGCTTTTTAGCGAGTTAAATTTGATTTGCAATTATGAGTTTAATCGATAGAGACAATTAATAATAACACTCAATTATCAATTAGTGACAAATTGACAACTATCTAATATACGTATAATTGTTACATACATTCGATGAGAATAACGAACGATCTTAAATGGAAATTCTTCGGTAAAAACGAAAAAATATGTTCGTTTTAAGACGTTTTGTTTTTCAGAAAGAAGACTACTATAAGATGCAATCGAAAATTTTTATTATTTTTCTATTTACGAGAACTTCACTGCGAATCTGTAAATTTTTTATTATATATATATCAAAGAAAACATGAATAAATACATGTGCACTCATTTATCTGAGTAAATCGAAACAAGAAGAAAGAAAGAAAACAACGGTCAGAACAAAAAGAATACAAACTTTAAGTTACACCTTCGAATTTTTTGTTTTAATGCGGATCAATATTTCGAATGAAAATAACAAGACCAAGAGCCAAATAAATAAATAGTGCAATCACATACGTTGCCAAAGACCAAGATAATGAACGCCGTGAATATATTAATGCTTGTTCAAAATATTCTTTACGCTCACAATGTAAAGATTTAGCAGCATAAAAAACGGCAACAACACCTGAATTAAATATATAATTTGAAACATGTTGATTAACTAATTTTCACCTACCGGTAACGAAGAATAGTAAGGTTGCAAAAATTGCACAAACAAGATGTCGTCTAGGATGAGCTTTTTTATACGTATATGCTTGAAATGGACTGCGCTCTACTACGTCTATGCAGATTTTTTAATAGCAAAAATTCATCATTTAGAAGAGAGAAAAAACATTTTATTACCAATTGTTGTGTCACCTCGTTCACCAACCAAGGACGGGCCGGATGTTGACCATCGACATGGAGATAATTTTTGATGCGTATGAAGAGCGGAACATGCTCTTGATGAAAACATAATTAATATTAACAAATTTTTACAATGAGGATTTCATTTCTATAAATAGTAGATTTTGTTTCCTTCGTTATTAGTAATAAAGTAAATCTTCGTATTTGCAATGGGATCAAGAAAGGTGACATCTTACTATAAAAAAATGAAACACATAATCAAGAAAACTTCAGCAGCGTTTTTCTTTCTTTGTGCTCATCAATAAGTACCTATGGTTACTACACACATTCTATTTTTGAACTAAAGAAGATAAACTCCTGTTTTAATATAATATAGAATGGTAACTATTGAACTATGTTTAGTGAACTATCTTATTTTTGATCCGCTTAACAAAAAGCAAAAGCAAGCTCATAATGTACAATCTCAATCTAAATAATTCTTGTTAATCATAAATTACCTTAAGAAACGCCTGTCAACTTCGTCAAAGACGTTGCCGTTATATTCAATATATACATAACGCCAAATCAAATGAAAATTTTCATTCATTATTTGTTTAAATACTGACAATGGAGTAGTGCTATAAAATAAAAAGAAGGAGAAGTCATACTGAGAATGACATACGGAAGTCGTTCGTTCGCTTGCGTGTGATGATCACAATCAATTATTCTATATGAGAGTATGTGCGCACCAAAGTGATAAAGTATGAAACAGAAGAATGTGACAGTCAAAAAACACAAAAGGAAGAATTGACTTAGCCAGATTAATTACAAGAGCGTGCAGAGAGCTCCTCATCGTAAATAAAAGCACCTTTTTATATTGGTAATTGAGAGAAGGTTTGTTTTAATTTCTAACTGTCAATTATCAAAGAAATTTTACAAAAACTAGTAAAGATGAATATTTCAGTATTCAAAGTTTATATCGAGTATCGCTCTAGATTATAAATTAATGATAAAATTCTCTACTGCGTGCTTTGATATACACTTTCAGCTATAAGCATATGAGACCTACGAAGCGCTTTTTATAGTCAGAAATCCCTTAGTGTAAATAAGCAATGAATCTATTTAATCAAAAGCTGTTCGTTGGCATAGGACCAGAAGTTTTTATGTTGATAACTCAACCTGTGATAACGATAGATAAATAAGATCTTGTTATTATTACCATGATGTGATCGCTTACGAGAGAAATGGAAATGCTGTTTTATTTTATCTTATCTTAAATAGTATAATTATTAACCACGATGATATCGCCAATTTCTTTTCTTTCTCTTTGTATTCTAGAATCGAAAAAGAAACTTTACACTTACTCACATATATTTATACCGCCAGGTTTCGCTAATAATCGAGCATTCTAAAGAAATAAAATACCTTACTCCTCCTTGTGAATGGCAATAATAGTATTCAAGAGTTTGTTGTCATTCTTTATAGAATGAGTGTATTCATATATGAGAAAATAAGATGCACAATCTACAATCTACTGCTGTTGTTTTCTTTTCCTTGTAATCTTTACTAGTTAATGATATTTTCTTTTTCTCTCCTTCTCTCTCTCTCTCTCTCTCTCTCTCTTTCTCTCTTTATTTTCCCCTCCTCTACTACTCAAGATGAACGCAAACGATAAAAGTGAATAATGACGACACGTGTATATATTTCTCTTGCACAGCTAAAACCATCATCGTCATATATTAGTATAAGTTTGTTCTTTGCCTTTTTACTATCTTGCTTTGACAGTGCTGGTAGCATACCAAGAGACTCTAGAACGTCAGTAGTCTGATGTTAATATATCAGTGAAGCCGAAGAAAAAATAGAACAGAGCTGATGATGCAAAATAAGAGGAAAGGGAAAAGAAAATCTGATGAGGTTCGCGTGTATGAACGCACAACAAGTTAGTATCATATTGTGCTCATAAATCAGCAGACATGGAAAGTCCTGCATCAAGGCAACATACAAATATATATATATATCGATCGCTCATGAACATCTATGGATAAGAGAAAATAGACACGAACTTGATTCCCAAAAGATTCGCTTCAACAAACAGCACGACTCGAACGAGACGAGGATCAAAAGTAAACGATTTATCGTATCAATTGGTATCAGCAGAGTATATGACGATGCTCGACATATGCTTGAAACTAAATGAATCTTTTATTTTTATCCTTTTTCCATATTTGAGAAGTAGGCTAAAACAAAAGTTTGTTTTTTGTTTGTGGTGATGCTGGCTTGAAAAGGATTCCTACGCATAGATTCGTGATCTATTTCTTTCCTTTTCTGGCCTCAATGGAGCAAAACCATGCTTTGGAATGTGTTTGAAATATATTGATATACTTATTAGATGAATCAGTGATTTTTTTTACTGTTTAACAAAGTGAAAAATACTAAATCGAACTGACCCGTTTTTATCGAATATAAAATTTTGCATAGGGATGAGTGATTATTTTCGATTTTTATTTTAATTGATCTAGATAAATTATAATTCAATGAGCAGAAGTTATATCATATAAGCGACAAATTATTCTGCCAAATATTTCTATAAATAACGACTAAAATATACATTGCATTTATACGGATTCTGAAACAGCCATTTTTGCCTCGAGCTATTCATTTAATTGGGTCTGATTTTTTTAGACTGAAATCATAGATAAACGTAATTTAGCATCACCTTTCATAATATCATTAATGGGAGATGTGTGGCATTAAAATAGTAAATGTTCGATTGCAATGGAATATAGTTTTAAATATCTTACTGATAGCAAGATTACAACTAGAGGGATTCAAGGGTCTCTTTTAACGATTTTTGTACTCGTTCTTAATCTATACAGATAGATATTAGACACTATGAATTGATCCGATGCTAAGAAGAAGTAAAAGCAAAGGGAAGGCTTGCACCATATGGAAATCTTTCTAGGCCGATGTTTTGGCGTTTGACAGATTTAATTCGAGTTTGCTTGATGAATGTCAACATATCATCAATTACTCATTATATAAGTTACGAATATTCGAAAATATATAATTTCTCTAAATAATTGTGGCTTGATTCTTATATGAAAGAGTGCAATACGAAGATCAAAATAAATTGATCGTAGGAAGATTGTGTCGAATAAAAATATGACGCAGCTAATCTAATGGAAATTAACATAAATTGTAGATTCTAGTTAATATTCTAACGATATTCAATATTGATTTATATGTTGATTGATGACGAACAAAGAAACCGATGAACTCCGTCTTTTGTTTTGGTTTTAAATATCCGATAATAAGATTCATATTTTTCTTTCTTTGAATTGAAATAACATGTTTTTATTGAACTATCACATTTATTTCTGACATCCAGCTTAACAAAGTTTCGTTCGTATATGTTTTAGTCAAACAAAAAACAACAGCAACAAATGATTAATCAGAAAATAAAATAAAAGTTAGTTCTTGCCAGAAAAATTCGTCGCCGATGAATTCTAAATTTCCAAGCAAACAGAAAAAAAGAAATGGAATTTTCAAGAAAATAAATTTCGAACTTTTTTCTTACCATTATTGTTAAAAACTTATTGATACTCGTCGTAGTAGCTGTTGATGATGACGAGAATGATGATGATGATGACGACGATGATAAAACTAAATAAAAGCAGAGCAGCTAAAACCATTTGTCTATCTACTGAAGTTGCTTCTGTCTCTTGTGTGGGGAAACGAAATCACATAGATAACTTCTATATGATATCCTTATAGTTCTCAATCGATTCGTCGATATTGCCGTGGGATATGCGGTGCCATAACAATAAGAAGTCTAAGTATCTTCGGGGGACAGAAACACGTTCTTCGTCGTCCTTGCATATTTTCTTTCTGAAAAAATTCAATTGCATACCATTATTATCTACAAATTCAGTTTTAAATGTCATTATTGTACAAATAACTAACGAAATGATGCCAATTATCATTAATACCTACACAAAATACGAAATTCAGCAATTGAAAATCATTATAACAAAAGCATTCTTACTTTTGTTTTGAGAGTGCTCAATCCATGAGGCATCACATGAAGAGCAATGATTGCAGGTAGTATATAACAAATTAATTGCCCACTGGTTGCGCCAGTTAACGCTAAGACGAATTCAAGGTTAGGAATAAATATTGCAATAAGTGTCGGTAAAAACACGACAATAGCTGTAAATACAATGATTAATCGTCTAGGAATAATATGACGTTCGCCAAAAAGAGATTGTTGTTGCTAGAAGAATGAAAAATAATTTTTAGCGAATAAATATCCATTAGATAGACAAAAATTCATGTTTACTTGATTGTTCCATAATGTATACAAGCTTATACGTGTCGGATTAACCATAAATGGAATACCCGTTGTACAATTAAGTATAAAACCCCATAAAAATATTTGTTGAAATAAATTTTTCGGGAATATTTGCATGACATTTCCTGGTATGAATGCATACGTTGGAAAAAACGCCAAATATCCAAAGATACCAGCCTAATAATGAAACAAAATTTATTTTCTTCAAATAAAATCAACGTTCATCTTACAATAAAATACATCAGTCCAACAATGGTCACTGATAAATCAATGACATCATTCATCGCATGTGAAGTTGCATCAGATAATTCAGAAAAAACAACAAATAACATTCTAAAATTGGAAATAGATATTGCGTCATCGGCAGATAATAAACGTTTTTCCTAAGTAGGTACTATTGAACAGTTGTGATGAACGTTTTTGACTTAACACTTCAACAATTTTTGTTTTTATTTATAGAAAAGCAATTTTATTCAGTATTATTAGTATCTTAATTGAATGCTTTAAGCAGACGTGAAGAAGATAGTTTCCGTTTCAATCTTACCAGTGTCGGCACTAATCGTTTTTTATGAGGAAAATTAGGCGTATCTAATCGTTTAAAGTCTCTATTGAATATCATATGCATACAGTCTCCGTGCTTTACGAGTACATATGGCTTAGTCCCGGTGGAGCCGAAACACAAAAAAGAGAAGAATTGCTAAATTTCACTGGTAATGAGAAGATAACAATAAATCGTCTTTCATCAAAATGCTTTCTACTTCAATTCTTCTTTTCCAATACCGATTGGAAACAATAGTGGGATATATTTTCTCTTATAAATTCTGCACATAAAATTTAATAAATTGATTTTCTTACGTTTGACATGAAAATGAAAGTGATATAATTGGTAAACTAACAAATATTCCACTCCATCTCCAGTAAACAATTTTGTTCAGATTTAATAGTATGCTAGTTGAGTTCAATCCACATTGAACAAAGCTCTAGACAAATAAAAATAAATATCGAATCGTGCTCATTTTTATATTAATTACATATACGCCAAAGAATAAATAGAATATAATCGATTGAATTGATATCGGCGTTAAATGATCAAATCGTTCAGATAAACTCAATGGGAAAGAAACCGTAAATGTCAATATGAGAATGACTAAACCTCGTATCAACTGTGAGTTCTAAACCGATGAATAGAACGACTATGAATAAATAATGTAAAAAGAAACCGAATTGAAATTCACCGTCACATCAAGTGTTTGTGCAACAACTACTGAACCAAGATCACCAACAATCATTTGATAAGCAACAATAGAACCTAATAAAAGGCCGATGGAACTGAAATGGAAAAATAAATATTTATCATTTTTATTGGTAAAAGTCTTTCGCGTTTGCTTTAAAAACTACCTCAATTCCACAACTAATTTCATGGTGCGTCCTATAATCTTTTTTAAAATGAATTAAATTCAATGAAATCAATTAAAATTTCTATTCTCACCCGTAGCACGTAATGCTAAATATTCATAGGTTGCTGAATTACTTGCATGAGCACTTGAAATAAGAATTTTACATGAATATGACGTGATTATTGCGGAGATAATCATAAGTAGTGTTGCTAAAATAATTCCGCACTAGAAATGAAAATTTTGAAATATAGTGGTTTTTGTTTAGTAGTTTTCATCGATTAAAATATCAATTACTTGATGGTAACAATATGGCATCGAGAGAACCGACACACCAACAATAGCATTTGATAAACTTAAAACACTTTTCTGAGGAAAATTTGGCTGTAAAAATTTGCTAATGCTTAGGTGCATCGTAAATCTAGAAATAAATAGAAAATTTTGCATAGCTAATTAATGAAGATTATTATAATAAAGTAGATGAAACTATGCGAGTTAAGAACAATATATAAATCTTGAAATCAATAATTACAGTTGGTATGAACAAAGATTTCAGTATGAAAGAGATTTTCCTGCATGGAAAACCTTCTTCTCCTTGCCTATCTTTTTTCTCTCGAATAAAATATTCAAACATACTTCTCGCATTGAACATCAGAAAACGAAAGTGTCTACACTATTAAATTAAGTCCCAGTATCTTAGAATAAATAACGTAATGACAATGTACAACAACATGAAAAGAAAACAAGCAAAATTAAATATCACTCTCAATCATCGCACGTGATCTACCTAACATAAGAGAGGGCCGCAAAAATATTTAAAAAATAGTTTTTTCTAAATCGACTCCATTCAGTTATTGTTGTAGAACATCGCGAAAAGCAATTGAATAGGGTTGCATTTGTTTCAAGAAAATATTTAACATATCAGTTAAAGCTTTTGATTTAATATTTTCAGCCGCTTCTGGTATTTGTGTTATCAGGGTTTTCAATTTATTTGATGTTTCATTTTCCATACAACGACCAAGACATTCTTGCAAAGCAATTATGTCTAAGCATGCTTGCATACTACCAGCTTTACTAAATTGATTGATATTCGAATATAATTTCACCAGTTCATCAACTAATGTTGACAATATTCGCGATAGAACAAGAAATACCAATTGACTACTGATAGAATAAATTTCAGCGTGTACACGAGCTAAATCAAGTATAATATGTTTAACATAATCTTTAACTGCCGTTACACGCATATGTGTTGCCCAATCGAATCTTCCGGAATACATACGAGCTTCCAAACGATGTAAAAATGGTCGAAGATATTCAGTTTGTACTGTTTCTAATAGTTGTTCATCAACACGTTTATATATTGTTTCGATTTCCTCATAGACACGATCCATACCACGAAAACCATAATTAAGAAAGATTTTTTTTAAACGTGGAAGTATAAAACGACGTGTGTAAACAAAATTATTGAATACTATTACTAAACACGTTGTTTTTGATAGATGTTCAGATGAGTTTGTCATTGTCGTTGACGACGATAATGGTTCAATGGAATTTGACGGTGCCGATGAACAATCTTTTATCAGAATTTGAAATACACTTGCAAAATCAGCTAACAAACGATAAACAGCAATGGCTGCTTGCTTTATTGCTTCTTTATCATCAAAAAACTTAAAAGAACAAACGAGAGAGAGAGAGATTTTGTCCTATTTAAATAGATCAATATACTAACTTTTCGTTCGCCTTTGGTTACATTAACAGAAAGAACATTTTCATAGATGATACTTGCTTTAGATACAATCATATCATGAAATATATTTGGTAATTTTGTATGAGAACCAAGTTGTTCGTCGTATTCTAATTCCCAAGTTTCATTCGTATTTAAACGAGATACTTCTGCAAGAGAAAGAAAAACACTTGAAATATTTTCCTAAAAACTCATTATAAACTTGAATACTTTTAAAATATACTCAATCATTATAAAGAAAAACCTTACCACGAGTTTCTAGTCGTTTATGAAAAAGCATCAAGGGGGAAAGGCGGATTTGACATTTTTAGCATTTTCGAAATCCTAAAATGTGAATGATCGAATATGTAGGTCTCACGATCCTTAAAATATTTTAAAGTTTTCAGCGCAAACGGATGTTTCCTTCCCAAGATAATGAATACGCAAGAAATGCTCATTTCACGGCACTGCAAGAAAATCCAGTTTTTTTGAAAATTCAATATTTTAAGACGAAAACATTTGTTCGAGTTGAAACTTTTCGGATTTTCTACGAACCATGAGAACTATATATAGGAAGAATTTCAGGTCGAAACTACGTCATTAACAGGGGGAAATGCTTTTCAATTTTGAGATTTTGGGTTTTTTTTCGGATTTAAAATCCCAAAAAATCCACCGTTTCCCCTCGAAAAGCATTCATATTTAAATAATTAATATTTGTTCGGCGGCTGAATTGAATGGCAAGGCAGATGAATTTGTTAAATGAGACTAATGAGGAAATCTCATGAAATACTTTCTTCTTATTAGTATGATAATAGTAAACTTTGTGTCTTGACAGAATTCAACTAGACTAACTCTCATTAAAATACTTAGAAGATACATACAATCAGGCTTTTTATATGCGCAAAATTTAAGATCGCGATATGTACAACAATCTGATAGCTTCTCAGTCAAATCGTTCCACAGTTTTTATTTGAACTCTATCAAATATCTCAAGAAACAAAAAAGACATGTTCATATCCTCTCCGGAACGTCGTTAACCACTTTTTATATAGCTCTTGTTTTGGATCGGCTTGCAACAACCGGATGATATCTATCCAAATTAATTCTACCAGAAAATTCTAAACATGCGTCGAGTGAATATTTAGCGCGAAGATATTCGTACTATCGATCAACTATTTTCAGAACTATTCAAGAAGCAACAATTTAAAATAATTGATATTTACCTAAACAAGCATGGTCCATGATAACTTTAAAACATTCTAAACGTAAATCGAACATAAGCTGTTGTAAATCTTGTTTAAAATCAGCTGGTATATCAAGTGAAGCAAGATGCAGTACACATAAACTATGAAAAGGATAATTAGAAGAAAAATTTGTTCGAAAAAAAACAAAAATACCGGCAATTCTGTATGCAATGTGGTAATGTTTTAACACGTTGATAAGTTTCATCAGCATTTGAGTATAGGTCACCTTCTTGTGAAGATACCATATCTGATTTTGATAATGTTGATCGATTTAATAAATTAAGTCGGACAACACTAATAAATGTTTGAATGATTTCTTTTGTTAATGTCTAAAATATAATAATTAATGCTATTGGTGTCTCCGATGTAAAAAAAAGAAAAGACGCACTAAGAACTCTGGCGGTTTATGCATATAAGTTCGATCGATTTCTTCAGATTTCTATCACGATGAAAAATATATAAATTTATTCAGAGAAAATTTCATTTTTAATTTACTTCAGATAAGGGATAGAGTTTCTTTTTTTGATACAATTGTATTAAATACCATAGATCAGGAAAAGCTGTTGTTAGTACATCACATGCTTGATCTACCAAAGATGTTGCTTGATCATGAATGTGAAGTTTTAATTCATTAGCTAGAAGAATAAATAGATTGAACTCGAACAAAGCAATTTTTTAAGCACATCACTATTTGTAAATTTTCTTAGGGTCGAATTCATTTTTCAGCTTAAGGATAACCGCTAGAGACTTTCTTCCTATCTTACGGATGTAAACAGAGATCGTATTTCCAGCTTACAGACACCAATAAAAATAAATTTGTGCCTATATTTCAGATTTTGTCGGTACCTTCTCACGGTAAGATACAACTATAGTAACAGCATGCCTTATCTGCAAAGGCATGGCAAAAAAGATCTTAAAAATCCAATAAATTTGCAAAATACTTCAGAGAAAATAAAAATATTTACTTTGTAGAAGTTGTTTCGGATCTACTACACATGATCGAAGTACGTCGATAAGTGCAGCCTTCTGATGTATAATACAATCCCATGCTGGATCAGCTCTTGGATCAAGCGAATGTAAATAACGAATAAAAAGTTTTTGATCATCAATTGATGATGGAAATTCTGTTAGACGTTGTCGAAATAATGTACGTAAATTATGAATTTGTTGTTCGACTTCTCTTTGAACTAGAATAAGAAGAAAATAGCTATTCATGTTGGCCAATATTTTAATGCAAACCACATACTATTGCGAAATACTTTCGAATCAACATTTTCGAATGCTGCGCGAGCTCGTACAAGATCATTGATCACTTTTTCGTATTCTTCCTATTTTGAAAAGAAAAGCAAAAAACTAGAATTTGTTTATTTCGAAGAAAAAAAAACAAATTACTCGTTTGACACTACGTTCAATAGTTTGTGGTAAATGAAAAATAAATTTATATCTTTGTATAACATTTAATGCATTGCGTATTGTGTCTGAATAATCTTTTCGGGCTAAATCTGTATCGTACATGGAATGAGCAATACGAGAAATTTCTATAATAATAACAAGAAAAGAAACAATTTTAAAAGAAACAACAATAAAAGGTAAAGACCTTCAATTAATTTTATCACTGGTTCATAAAAATTTTTCTTGCGATCATCTGCCGATAAACGTCGTATGTCTAAAAACAATTCAGAAATAAGGTTAGGAAATTTTCTTTGATTGAATAAGCAAACCTTTCATTATATCGACGGCTTCCATAAATGATGCTATATTATTTTTAACAAGTGTTGTTGATGCACCTTTATTGTCAGAACGAGTTTTCTTGAGATGTTCAAGATTTTTACGTAATTCATCAAAACTAGATAGATTTTAATTGTTGTTCGAAAATAAAAGCAAACGTTTTACTTACTTTGCATTGGATTTATGAGCCAGTAAATAGTAGTATGGATTGAAATTTGGTTGAGTTATATCTGTACTACCTAAACAAGAATATAACACACAAAATTAGTTCCTTTTACGAACCGAAATGTTTTGTGATTTAGTAGTCGCTGTGTGTTTAATTATTTTTCAGGACTGACGAGCTTCCGTAGACAAAAAGTGAAACAATTAGCTGCTTTCAGAATGTTGGAGTGTGGGATTAAAAGCTCAGCAAAGAACTTTTTCCTTGTTTTTTTTACTTTTAGAAAAAAATGAGTTGTAACTCATAGAGACTAAAATTTCTCAAGATGCGAATTAAAATGTTGGTTAGAGGGATCGATCGATCTAACTAATACATTTTACTTCAATACTATGAAAGTTTATTTTGAATTTCACTTAAGTTCACTTCCTTATATTTCACAGCGTCTCCGTGAACAGTTTCATTAACTCTACCAGCGCCAAGAGTTTCATTAAATAGAAATGAGATTCTTCATCAACTCATACCGAATCTTTCTCTTGCTTCTTTTCATCTACTCATCCGCGGAATATAGTCCATATTTAAGAACCTCCTTACTCAAATCCTTAATTCAAAAACGACAAATTCTGAATGGTACTGCAAAAAGTGGTGGTGTAACACCTAAACCACCGGGTAGTGATAGTAGTTCAAGTCATACTATCATATCAGCATCATCAACACAACAGTCGCCGATTCATCAGATATTTTCTTCGACACTAACAACAACAATACTCATGCGAAATGACTTAGCACAAGATCGTTCAGTTAAAGATACGATTTTATCGAATTCAAATTCAAAAACCGGTCTTATTGCTTCTATTCTCGCGCCAACTGGTATTGTAGGTGTAATCGGTGCTGTAATTGGAACTTTGTTTTACAAAAAAAATCAAAATAATTCATTAGCCAATGGAGCTCAAGGATTTTTAAGTAGAATTTTCAATAGGAATTCTAATGAAATTATAAAATAATAAATTAGTAGAAAAATATTTACTCGTTGGAAACATATCATAAAGTTCTTCTGCTGGAGTTGCACTACTGTAAAGAAAAAACATAATCAATAGAATATAAGAAGATTTTTAAAAATAACTTACGAATTATCAGTAGTTGATCCACTAAGTGTATCACCAGTACCAGGTAAAAAAGCTGGTGTTTTTGATGCATTCAGACCAAATAAAGCAACTGAATCTTCTTCAACCCATACAGCAACTTCTTGAAATTGTCCTTTTAAATAATTTCGTTTTCTTTTAAAATTTAAAGTTCCTTTAGTGTAAATTACCTGCTTGTTCAACTCGTCCGTAGAATCCAACGGAGCAGGAACCAACCCCACCACTTTTTGTTATAACAACAACATCACCTTTACCTTGGCCATTTCCTGAATAGGCAATTATTTTATTTGGACTAATCCATGCAGCTGTGGCTCGACAATCATCACCACAAATTTTTAAGCCAATAAAATCTTTTTCCTCGATACCCAAATGTTCGCCACGAATCGTTATTTTTATACCTGGGCAACCTTCACGAGGTGATATACCAGTTACAAGAGGTGGAGGCATTTGAAATGCTTGTCTGAAATGATGATCTAAAACTCATTAAGACAAATACAACAACAACAACAATAACAACAACAAAAACTATTTCATACACGATGTGTGGTGCATAATCGTGAAAGCAATGAGAAGAAATTAATACAGATACAGGAACGATCGAGAATATTACAGGGAAATCGGATACAAAATCAAGAATATTGTATATCAAATTTCTTTATCCAATTAGATGGGGAATGTAGAGAAAATTTCCATGCTTTTTTATACGCATAACAACTGAATTTGCATCAAGCAAGATAATATTTCGCTATAAAAATACAGCTATCGTATTTATTAATGTAGTATCTTCATTGTATAAATAAAAAAGTTGTTTTTATCGTCAAAAGCATTCTTAGCGTAGTATGGTTTACATCTTCGATAATCACATCTCTATACGTAGGGTATATCTTTCAAACGAGACAGTCTTCGGAATGGTGTCAACTGCTTGGCCAATCATTCGCTCACTGATTGAAGCGCTACAATCAACGCATACATTTTTCTGATAATTCAGTTTTGGTATGATGTATGCGCAAATTAGAAAAATAAGTTATTAAAATGTCATGATTATAAAAATGGATGATAGAATCTTCATCAACTGTATCGATTTTAATTGGATCAATTAATGCTCATAAATGTTATCTCCCTTTCGCCATCGATAGTTGCTATCGGTCTTTAAGAATTACCTTTGAATTGTTTATCTCTTCTCAACAAAAGTCTGAATATCAATGAATAAAATTAATTGAAAAAAATATAACCGATTTATAATTTATTTTCTTGTGCTCGATGAAGTGTATATTCTTTTCTTATCGTTTACTCGGTAGAAAATAATTTTTTTGTTAATCAATAGCTACTGCTCAAGTTCGAGTAGCTACTTTTCGTTTATGTTAATTTTACAAAAACGACGTTAGTTTTCTTTGATCTACGAAACAAACAATATAGGTGAAATATTTCTTTTTTGAGCGATTTAAATTATCGGCGTAAACATATTCGGTATCCGAAATAAAATCTTAATTCATATGTTCGTTCATCATCAACCGATAGAATATTATGTCGAACTTGAATATTTCACATACAATCAATTAACTATTGAACACTACTACTGACAAGATAGTTATTTATATATTCTATATTATAGATGGCTTTTTTCAATCGTTTATGGACATTTTTTAGTGGTGACACTAAACAACTACATAAACAAGCAGATGTATTAAAAATTGGAATACTCGGTGCAGCTAATATTTGTAATATGGCATTAGTTAACCCGGCAAGTAAATTATCGAACATTCTAATCTATGGCATTGCTGCCAGAAATCGGCCAAAGGCTGAAGCATTCGCAAGAAAACATCATATACCAAAAGTAATGTTTTGATTATAAAGATTTTGTTTTTGAAATTTGTATTTTAGGTTTATGATAATTATGATGAATTATTAGCTGATCCAGATATAACTGCGATTTATAATCCATTACCAAACGGTCTGCATTATCAATGGACAATGAAAGCTTTACGTTCAGGTAAACATGTACTTTGTGAAAAACCATTATCAAATAATGCAAATGAAGCACGTGAAATGGTTGAAGAAGCTAGAAAACAAAATCGTCTACTAGTCGAAGCATTTCACTATCGATATCATCCAATGTGTAATGAAACTTTGAGAAATCTTCTTTCAAATAAAGATCGAATTGGTTCTATACAAAATATCTCCGCTGTTTTTACTGTTGCAGCTAGCTTTTTAAAACATGACGATATTCGTTTTCAATATTCTCTTGGTGGTGGAACTCAAATGGATCTTGGGTGTTATGTAGTATCTTCGTGTCGATTTATTGTTAATACCTACAACAATCGTAATGATGATAATGAAGGTCCATTTGAAATTCAAAAAGCCGAAGCCGTACGAGTATCTCCAACTAATCCTCAAATCGATTATGGCATGCGAAGTGATTTAATATTAGATGGAATAAAATGTAATATATATTGTGAATTTACTAATAATTGGTCAATTACTAAGCAACAAATAACCATCGAATGTGAACATGCTATAATAACCGTCGGTTATTTTATTGCTCCGGTTTTTTATCATTATATAACTGTACATGATCGACGTGGCAATCAAACGCGTACAATAAAAAATTATGGAGATAATCAATCAACTTATTATTATCAATTAAAAGCATTTGTAGACGCTGTAAAAATTGCTCAAAATGAAAGTTCTATGGATCGAGCGTATGAAATAGCGTATACAACTGGAAAAAGTGGTATTCGTAATATGGAAATCATTGATGAAATCTATCGTAAAGCTGGACTCGTTGTACGAGGAACTGAAATTTAATTACACGATGATTTATTTGATGACAGAAGTCGCTGTTTGTATTGATCTAAAGAAATTTCATTTTTTTAAATACTTCTTTACGACGAAATCTTTTTTGTCTGTGATCTTTTTACTGAGAATATTTTGCTCTGGAATCCATTGGATTTTTTCGAAGTTATGACTATTGATAGTTGATTGTTTTTTATGATTACTTATTTTTGAAATTTCATTTTCATTTGGTTTATTTGCTTGAAGATTTTTTATATATGAATTACGTATGAAAGTTTCACTGGGAAAAATATCAAGAAAATCTTGACGAAGTTTTTCGAATATCACTGGAGCAAAAGAACCTAATTTTTCAAAGCGACGCTTTGGAACTTTGAAATAATAAAAAAAAATATCCGCGAGATTTCGATTTAAGTACCAACGAATATTACTTGAAACAATATCCACGATACTTCGAGTGAGATACCACGAATGAATTGTTGTTGATTCGAAACCAAAATAATGACCATTGGAAAGAAGAAATATTTCAAGAAAACGCCATGTAGTTCTTTGTTTCTGTAAGGCGCGCTTTTCATTTATTGTATCATTGATATTTCTTGGAGAATTTGCATCTGTTAATGGGGATTGATTACTACTTAATGGATCCGACACAAAATTATTAGTCGAATGATGTTGTTCTAAAATTTGAATGTAAGCAAATTAGAGACTTAGATTAACTTGAATAGACTATAACAAAATAACTGAGATAGATGTCATCTATGATTGTCGAACCGGAATATATTGTCTAATGGGTTCCAAAGGAAGATTCATGACTAACTGCTCAATCAGATGTGAAATCTATGAATCTCCAAAATTATCTTTAGATTAAAATTTCTCAACTGGTCGATCACTTTTGAATATACCAACTAGGTAGATTCTACCCTTTTTTCTATGTACGGTATGAACTACTTAAACAACGCTTGATTTTCTAAATCAACTTAAACTTTGATGGCGACATTCATCTTTCTATTTGCATCTATAATAAAATAAGAACAATCGCGCTGTAGAAATTCCAAAAATCAACGTGCCGGACAAGAACTTCTGCATTTATCAACGAGTAATTTCAGATATTTTCTAGTGAATACTTGAAATTACTCGTCCCCCAAGACAAAATTCGAAACCGTATATGTACTACCTTTAGTATTTATCGTTTTCTTATTTAATTTCTGATAAAATTGACTGTATTCTGGATGTTTAATTACGTTCGATGGAAATTCAAATAGGCGTACAAAAGATATTTGACCATGTAAAATAAAATATAAATTCTCATGCTCATATTCTTCATTGCCATAAACGATTTCATCGATTGAATATTGTTTGTAAGTCGTCCATTTTAACTACTAGCAAAATTTATTTTAATCTATCAAAAATTAACTTACAATATAATTCAAAATATCATTTCGCCATCGAATACCACTAAATATTGATTGCATTCGAAATTGTTCAAGTAGTGATTGCTTCATTATATCCGATAGATAGTTTCCATAGGTCTGTTATGATATTTACAAAAACAAAAAAGTTAATTAAGAGCATTTTCATTTACAACTTACTTTAATATCTCTTGAAAAAAATCCAATTAAATTACAATGAGTATTTTCATTTGTTATTAAACCATTTAAATGATGAAAATCTATTGAACGAAGAGAATCATCTCCGTACACATCTCCAATATTCAATCGATGACCAAATAGTGTTTTTTCATTGGTTTCTAGTAACAATAAGCATTGTCCTATAACGTAGAGAAAATTTTACTATTTTGTTTCTAAATAAAAGTATATCTAAATTACCATAGACAATAATATAAACAAGAAATGAAGGAAAATTTTGACGCGTCAAAATTGTATTTGGATTGTGAGTAAAAAGTAAAAGCGAGCGAGCTAAAATTCCCAGATGAACTAGTAATAAAGATTAAAAAAGTCATCATCAACCAGCATAATGACGAACATTAGTAGGTAAATGACGAAGACTTTCACAACGACTTAATAGATGTTCTAGAACTCCGATATCGCGAGTAGTACGTTGACGTGGCGTCTAAAGTAAAAATAAAATTTCTGATGAAACATGATCTAAAACGAACGTTGAAGCGAAAGAATAACGATTTTGATCTCTGCGCTACAAACATTATTCATAGGCAAATATTAATTCGAAGAACGAAACCTTATTGATTGCTGCTAATGTTGTTTTTGTCATCAAACCTCCGATTCGACGAGAAACTCGAACTGGCTGAATAAAATGTGTAGTTGATTTCACTGCTGTTAAATTATCTAAATGAGTTGATTGTGACATTGTTAAATTTGTTTTTGATTCAAATTGAGTGCTCGTTCTAGATGAATAATCAATTGAAGTTTTACCGTCTAAACTCATTTTCGATTCATTATTATCGAGTATTATCGTTGAACGAAATCCTTTTATTGTCGAAAACAAAGAAAAATTTATTAAACAAAATCAAAGTTATTCATTAATTCGTACGATTATTTTGCGAAGGAAAATTTTTGACTACATTATAAAATTGGAAAAGCGCTCGGCCAACTGATGGACTATCATGAATACATCGTTTTAAATGTTCTGCATAATGATTCATCGAATAGACTTTCACATGTTGCTGTTTTTCTAATTCACGTTCGCGAATACATTGTCGAACTCGTTCAATAAGACGATTAAAATTCGGTGTTTTATTATATGTATATGATTCTTTATTAACTACGAAATTCATATTTAGTTTTCTTGCCGCGTTTATTAAGCACTAAACTTTATCGTTTGTTAATTCAGCGAAGATTACTTTCATTATTTTTCAAATGTTTTCTACTCAGTATCCTGTTAAAGTCGACGTTAATCGCAGAACAAACGGAGAATTTTTCTTTTTTTTCCATCTAGTCTATAGGCGGTACTTTATTTATCTCAAAGAAAACAATAGATTTACTTATTGCCTGTTGTCTCTTGATAAAGAATAGACTTCCGAAAAGTTCTATTCAACTGAAAAATAATTTTTGCATCGCATTTCTGTATATGAGAAAATATCGTTTGTAAAAACACCAGATCTAGTTTCTAATATATAGTAGTGATTACATTGTCTATTCGACCTGCAGTGATAAAATCAATTGAATAAAGGATCTTCAACATTCGATTGAGTCTACAGGATTATGAGGCAACACAATTATTATAACCCGAATTTCAATCCAAGACGAATCAATGTTTCAATAAGACCTACTTCGATTATGTTAATAAGTAAAAAATACACGGAACTTCCGTGATATGAAACCATTTATTCGAAAAAGTGACCTCGTTCTAATTTAAAACAGATAAACGAAATCCTTTTCTGAATTGCATTTCAATGAATTCTATGATTAAAAAACCATAATGATTGACGTTACGATGTCGAAGTCACAATTTCAAAAGTGAAGAGACTAATAAATCTCCCTAATCTACACATTTGAAAATGTAAAGTTACTCAAAAATGTTTCAGTAAGATATAGAAATGTATCAAAGGAAAAGTGAGTTTACATTTTTTCTGTACAGTCAAGTGTTTCGTTTAATTTATTAAAGACTATTTGAAGTTTTCATCGATTGGATTTTATAAATAGTTCTTTAGAATTCTCAGCTAGTAAATGCTTTGCAGGAATAGCGTTTCGTATCCGACAAATTGTATAACATAAAAGTAATAAGCGAAATTAATCACCATGAAATTTCCAATTTCGTGCTTATTTTCCACATACGATAACGTCAAATTCCTATTTATCTATCAAGTTGTAATAAATACAAATTTGTTTAGAGCTCAGATACATTGGGTAATCGGTATAAATACTTTCATACATTTTTATTTGCTCTGAAATTCTTGTAAGAAAATCATGAAGTTCTTCTTACTTGAAAACTCTATGACAGAAATAGGATCCATTTTGATCTATCTACAATAAATCTTCGCTAAAATGACAAAGGCTAAAATTCAAAACTGGATCATTGATTTCAATCAGAAAACTTCCAAAATATTCATTGCCAGGACCCATAAGAAAACATTAGCAACATGCAGTTAGTATTTCTCAAAGTGAAGTGGTTATAACATCAAAAGAATATAGTTAAGGATACGATGAATCATGTTTATCTCGTGATGTGTATTGAGGAGACAAGTCAAGTAGCTAGTATTCGAAAGAAGTTATTTTTAGTAACAAAACAAAAACGAGTCCAATCGGAATGGAAGATACAGCGTGTGTATTTTACTCATGTTGCGAAACAAGGATGCATTCTTTTTTGTTCGACGCTGCGCTAAGTTCTTCACTCATGATTACATTTTTGAGTGAAGTGTCAATCGTTGTAAAAAAATGTTTAATAATGCCATTAAGATTTATCATTGGTCTAGTTTGATCTACTGGATGATCAGGGTAGGTAGTTCTCAATCTCAATCAGTAACGAGAAAAAAACAAATAAAAGTCAATGCATACAATTGCAGTTGAGACATCTATCTATCAATGTTATTTTGCTATTCTACTCGCGTTTATTGTTTTCAAAAATGTTACCGTGGCCACACATTTGATATGTAACATGTTAACATCAAAATATTATTATTCCTAGAGAAATAAAAATATTTTCCTTTAATTATATATTGATGAATTGTTTTTCATTTTAGTCTTTGTACTTTTTTGTTTTCAACTCCAAAAATAGTTTGCATACATTGAATCAACATCAACAACGTGATTCATAATCATACATTTAAAATGACGAAAAATAGAATTTTGATGAATGACTAATCTTTCGATTTTTTTGCATATTTCGATTTCTTCTAGTCATATGCTACTCCTTCTGACTCCGATAAACGTTTCATTTGCGTGCTTTATTTTCCATATAGCGACATCGTTAAGAATGAATAAAAAAACCGCTACTGGCATCGATAGTAGAACTAGTAAAGTAGCGCAGTTGTTCTCCTCGAGAGATGACAAACATACTATTGGAATCAGGTTACTTCTTTTCTTACTTTTTTTGCGTTCGCTTTTATCGAGGGGTTTATTAGTACATGGAATATATTTTATCATTCGACGACATCGTTTTTATTTACTATACACTCTTTGGACTCTAGTGAGATAAATATATACATATTCTATCATTATAGATATCTTTTTCAATGACATCAACAAATTACATATCAGCTACAGAATTAGCTGAACAAAATGCTGAAGATACATATGAACAATATGAAAAATACTTCAATGCTGGAAGGTAAATTTATTTACTAAACACTGCGTGTTGACTGACTGTTTGCTTGCCTTGATAGCGGTGGCAAACAACGTAGTAAAATCGAAGTGGAATTAAATTCTCAACGTCATGATGCCGGTGGTGATACACGAAAAATTGTTACTGCTATGGCTAACAATGAAAAAAACCGTTTACATGGGCATAAATAAATACTTAAACATTTTATCCACTTCTGTCAACATTTATCTTATCATGAACTTTTATCTTGTTCTAAACTTTAAGACTGTGTAACAGATATTCTTTTTTTCTATTGTCGGCTTGATTTTAAACATATATATATATTTTACGTACACAAAAAAGAAAAGAAACAAAAAAAAACAACAAATAGCTGCGAAATGATGTTTCGTATGTTTGTTGTAAATATTTTGTTTTTAACAAATATTTATTCGTATGAATTACCTTTCTCAACGTTGGGTAATTCAATAATTGATGCCAATGGAGCCGTCGTTCGAATGAGATGTGTCAATTGGCCAGGAAGTATGGAGACTTTAATGCCAGAAGGTTTGCAACATAATTCAATCGATAATATTGTTTTAATTATAAAACAAATGAATATGACTTGTGTACGTTTAACATATTCAATTGATGTAACACGGTCATCAGATCTAACTGTTTATCAATCGTTATCAAGACTTAATTTAACTTTTGCTCTACAAGGTTTTATGAATAATAATCCGTCACTTATTAACAGTACTGTTTCAAATATATTTAATACTGTTTTGGATACGCTTGGAAAATATAATATTTTAGTTCTATTGGATAATCATGTTAGTAAAGCTATGTGGTGTTGTAGTGATTTTGATGGAAACGGTTTTTGGGGTGATCGTTACTTTGATGTTGAACAATGGATAGATGGTTTAAAATTTATGGCCAACAAAACGATTGATCGTCCGTATGTGATTGCAATGAGTTTACGAAATGAATTACGTGGCGTTAGACAAAATCAACCCCACTGGTATCACAATGTTGTACGTGCTATTCTTGAAGCAATATCATTTGTCAATCCTCGACTTTTAATAGTTATTTCTGGTTTAAATTATGATCTTAATCTATCGTTTATTCGATCACTACCTGTGCAAAATCTTGTACCAATATCTATACAAAAGAAAATTGTCTATGAAGCACATTGGTATTCGTGGTCTTATTATGGTCTTTTAAGTGATTGTAATCATATAAAAGATACTATTGAAAATGCATGGGGTTATATTTTAGAATCTAATTATTCTTATACAGCTCCTGTTTGGCTAACAGAATTCGGTACGAATGTTGATCAATTTCAAGGTGACGATGAATTTATTGATTGTGTAAAAGGATTTCTTCAAACGCCCTTAACTCAAACTATGTCTTGGTCCTATTGGGTATTAGCTGGTAGTTATTATATTCGATCTGGTACAGCTGAATCACACGAATCATTTGGTTTGTTAACTGATGATTGGAAAAATATTAAATCAAAAGCATTTATCGATATTCTTTTAACTTTGTAAACAGAAAAGAAACTGGTAAAATATCAACGTTCACAAATATATCAGAGACGAGGAAGAAGAAAAAAGAACATTGAGACGATAGTTTGCTTATTTTTTTCTTTCTACTGCATTGTTGGCATTGACATTTGAACATGGGCTGGCGTTGCGTCTTCTTGTCGCCATGACGAAGTTACTGTTTTTAATTGTGTGTAAAAGTTCATGCCCTGCAAAAACATTAAAATTGCAATACAATTAAAAATTTTGGTTGTTTTTTACATTTCGTCCGTAGAAATTTGTGTCACCACGGAATGAACCGCGAGAACCCGTAAATGAAAACATAGGAAGTGGTACTGGAATAGGAACATTAATGCCAATCTAAATAAAAGAGTTTTTGTTTTCGAATTTTTATGAATCAATAAAGCAAGTCAAGTCTATTTACTTGTCCAACATCAATTTCTTGAGTAAACTTTCTTGCCGTAGCTCCATTGGTAGTAAAAATAGCTGTACCATTTCCGTACGGGTTATCATTAATAACTTTGATAGCATCATCCAATGTGTCGACACTCATTGAAACAAGCACGGGACCAAATATTTCTTCTTTATAGCAATTCATACTTGGCTAAGTAAAAGAATACGTAGATGAAGATTTTTCTTATGACAAAAAAATTCGAGTAAACAAAACGAAAATTTACTTTAACTTCATGTAAAATTGTTGGTCCAACAAAATTACCATTTTCATAACCAGGTACTTTAACATTTCGACCATCTAAGAGTAATTTTGCACCTTGATTAACACCAGATTCAACTAATTGAAGAATACGTTGTTTTGCTGATTTCGATATAACTGGTCCTAAATCAGATGTTGGTTCATAACCAGCAGTAACACGTAATTTTTTAGCTTTTTCAACTAAATCTGGAATCCATTCACGTGCTTTACCAACGAATATTGCTGTTGACAATGCCATACATCGTTGACCAGCAGCACCAAAGGCTGCACCAACAAGCTAAATGAAAGTAAAATTAGAATGAAAAACAAAAACAATCAGTTCTTCGATAACATACTTGATTCAATGCTTGTTCTTTATTAGCATCAGGCATGATGACACCATGGTTTTTTGCTCCCTGCAAAATAAAGTTGAATAATAATTAAAAACGAAAAGAAAAGACTAAAATTTATGTTCTTTTTTACCATATTACATTGTACACGTTTACCATTCTTTGAACCACGTTCATAAATGTACTTACCCTAAATCATAAGATTATGTTAGAATAGAATTTTTAACAAAAACAAATAATCTTACAGCTGTATCCGAGCCAACAAATGATATAGCTCTAATGTCTGGATGATCACAAATGAAGGTAACAGCTTAAAAACAAAAAACCAAGTCAGATATTTATTTCAATAAATAAGTTTTTCTTACCATCATGTTGACCGTGAATACAATTAACAACACCATCGGGAAAGCCAGCTTCTTTTGCCAATTCAACAAGCATCATACATGCACCAGGATCTTGTTCAGACTAATAATTAACATTAGAATTCAATTATTTTGCATTTCAATCTCGCTTACTGGTTTCATAAGCATCGTATTTCCACATACAGCTGCTACCGGAAACATCTACATATGAAGGAAAAAAATCATTATTTTCCTATTTAATTCGTTTTTCTAACAATCAAAACTTACCCAAAGTGGAATCATAGCCGGAAAATTAAATGGTAAAATACTAACAATAGATAATTTTCATAAACTTTTCGCCTAAATAAAATCCTATTGAACTAACCCAGCAGTAACACCTAATGGTACTCGATAACTATGAATATCCATATCTTTTGCAACGCTATGCATAGTTTCACCAGTTTGTAAAAATGTTACTGAACAACATGATTCAACCACTTGTAAACCACGTAAACATGAACCTTCAGCATCAGTGACTGTTTTACCTTGTTCTAAGGCAATGTTTTCGGCGATTCTTCGCTAAAAATTCATTTCAATTACTCAATATTTTTTTATCATTATTGAAAACAAAACAACTAAACAAACCATATTCTTTCTGATCAGATCTTGATAACGAAACATGACCTGTTGTCGTTGTAGTATAGTTGTTTTTGACCATGTACGAAATGCTTCTTTACAACTTTCAACAGCTTCATTCATTTCAGCTTGAGTACTTTTTGGTACTAAACTGATTACGTCATTTGTTGCCTGAAAAAAAAACATAAAGTGCAATCGATTGTATCTATAAACATTGGCTTACAGGATTTGTAAGTTCAATCCAATTATTGGTTTTTGATTCGACAGCTCTTCCATTGATCCAATTTTTAACAGTTGTCTATTAGAATCAAATAGTAAAATTTTCTATTCATTACATTTTTCATTAACTTACAGGCTTTGATGAAGCACTAGCACATCGAATCAAATGTAATGCCTGTATTCAATAATATAGTTGAATAATATAGAATAGAAAACGTTAAACTTACAGTAATATTTTTTGTGCCTGCTGAATGAACTATTGCGTTACATCGAGAACTGAAATTGAGCATTCTGCGTTGAATATATTCGAAATAGTTCTAAAACTAACAATAAAGAACAAGCAATGTTTGTGTATCTATTATCTCAATAATTTGGCCTTGAAACAAGGAATAGTAAAAGGTATGAAAAAGATAAAAAAAAATGCCAATTTATATACACAATCACGCATAAGAAAAAAAACAAGAAAAAAGTTCGATTGTCGACACACCTACTATTCCAGGTTCAGATAAAATTCGACCAATAAACATCAATGAGAAGCCCCCAAATATGGCGCATTATTTTTGAAGCAAGAGGAAAAAGCTCATTGCTGGAAAAAGCACCAAGCAAAACATCACAAGACCAAAAACATCGTTGTAGAGGACAAAACACATCGATAATGTTAACTACTTTTCGGGTCGAGCATACCATTTATTTTTTTCAAATAGTTCTTTGCAGTTTTGTATAGAATGAAAAGTTACCTGAAATATCCGAAATTCTGCTTTGGGTCTACTTATTTAGAAAGATTAGATCAAATATACTGTGAAAAATAGACCAAAAAAAACTAAAAAAATTTGCCACCTCCTATACTTGCTGATGCTTGCAACCTCAATAAAAGAATATCATTCAATACTTTAAATATCCAGTATTATTCACCTATCTATGGGCTATCTTTTAGAGTATTCGTCTACGGTTTGAACAACCTTCTGAGGCATGAGACGGGGGTTGTTTGATCGAGAAATTTTTGCTATTTTTTATGTTGAAAAATTGTGAGGGTGATAAAAGTCGTCTCTGACTAACTTTTCGAAGGAAATGTATTCGAAGCTAAAATTTTCAAGTTAGTAGTTTTAAACCTTGATCTTTCGAATGAGCATAAAGAAGCCAAAAATAAATTTTTGTCGAATGCTTCGATTCCTCGGTGCTGTCATGGATGCTCTCTTAAGAAAACACTATACTACCCTTTGACAATATATCCCTTTCCTACCAATTAGTATCAGATGTTGATTTTATGATCATGCAACTATAGGACGCACTCGAACTGATCGTTGTCCAGCATAAACCGTTTCATACATTGTTCTTCTTTGATATCCATCAAAATATTTTAACGTAACAGATTATTGGTTTAGACGACAACAACAACAACGAGCTGTATAAATTTATCGAGATTTTAGGTTGAAATAGACTTCGAACTCGAAGATATATCGCACGATTAGTTTGTCATATATAAACATTTCGATGTTAAACGAGGACTGATCTTCCGGTATCGTATTGTCAAATTCAAGAAAAAGCTCGACGACGAGTTTCTTTGTACAGACAATCTGCTTGTCTTCATTTTTCATCCGACTCTCATCGACTATCCATGGGCGAATAGGGCCTTTCATGATCCTGATGAAACGCACACTACGAGTACACTAACATATGACAAAAACATCGCTCCACGGTGGTATATCAACTGTGAGCTGATGATTCTTGTTCTGTATCAATCTTTATTCTGTTTTGTTTTGACAAGGAATTGTCAGACGTCTCTTTTGTTTCCGCTTCAAAATGAGTCAAACAGTCGGAACAACTGGCACTTGCTTGCTTTTATGTTCTATTATTCAAGCTGGCAAGCGGAGAACAAGATATATGTATAAGAATTAAGATGGATAGAACTTACAAACAGAACTTGCACTACGTTGTAATTAGAAAACTTTATGAATAAAATTGTAGTTCGATGTCAGATTGAGTTTAACGTTTCTTTAATTCAACTCTTTGAAAAAGGTTCCACAACACGCTGCACCGCATATATCGTGAATAATTCCGAGAATCGTATTGATCTGATTAAAACTGCGGCGATTTCCAACTGATTTTAGAGTCAAGTTTCACGTATAATCAACTAAAAGATATCATGAGAAAGTACGATTTTGCACTGAACTTTTGAAACACATACTCGCGCTCTATAATAGATTTCTATTGAGTTGATTTCAGACAATGTGTTTTGATTACAAAGAGTATTCAGCGGTTAATAGTAGAAATCTTCATACTGTGAAATTATATTCGAACAGGAAAATATTCGAATTCATCTAAATTCAATAATCTGTAGTAATTTGCTACTTTTCTATTAATTTGCCAGATTTGTTGATCTAATTTAAAATCAACAATCTTGCGCCATCTATTAACTTTTCTAACAATTCAAAAATCAAAAATTATAAAGGTATATATTACTCACAGCAATCGAATATTGATTGGTGGAAAAGTACGTTTTTTGTGTATGTGATATTGGGATAATGTGAATGAAAGACTTCGTCTATTTTGAGTATCGTTCAACTTGAGTCTAGCTCCAGAGTATCTGGTGAAACTAAACTGTTTTGAACTAAACATTCAGATGTGATTTATTTCAATGTTATCACAAACGATAACTGATTCAAGGATAAATCAAAACATCGTCAAACAACCTTTCAGTAAAACTAGGTAAAATGAAGAATGAAGCCATGAAAAATTTTAAAAACTCTCTAACAAAACAACATTTTTCTTTTTCTCTGATTAGATTAATAGATTCCAATCGGTTTGAATTCGAATCGAACTTGCCTATTCTCTTTTAATGCTTCAAAATATTTATCCATGATAAAAGTTAATCAACATCATGCCTACTCGTATCTATTAGACATCATCGTAAATAAAAAAACAAACAATATATTTCTTTCAAAAAAACCTTACGTCGTCGAATCACGTGAATTATGATGATGCTTAATTTCTATCGTTCTCGAGCAACAACCTTGTTTCAGCAGTATTTATTAATCAATGAAATGGTTTTTCTTTACAAGTTTTTGAATATCAGTACTTTTATATGAAATCACATACATTATCGTCGATTCTAATAGAATATATTTAATAATATTATGATTCGAACATGAAATAAAATATTTCGAGACCAATTAGAAAATGAACAAGTACTATTTATTAAAAACAAGATAACGTAAGACTCATAGATTTATAAATCCTTACGATCTTTTCTTATTCAAATATAAAAAATTCGTGTTACTAAAGAGATGATAGATTTCGATATAGCAATAACTTTCGTCTCGGTGAGAATGAAATAAAATAGAATATCTCATATTTTCAATCCTAAAGTACTCGTAAAAATCACACATTCGAACTCTCTTATTGAGATCAAAACTATCCAAGAAGTTAAGGCATGAGAAATCCTTCTATTCATTCTCTAAATTTCTAAATAATATGTTAAATATTTTTAGATGACGGTCAGAATAATGATAAATTATCATCGATTCTATATCAAAAGAATTAATGTGACCAATCAACACAATGATCGTGAATTCCCAATCGTTGATGTTCAAATGAATCAAGTTCTTTGTTTTAGTTTAATTTTTTTTTGTGTACATAGTAAATTATGGTTTAGTTAAAGATTTCAGTACATCAGGAAGATTCTGTGAAAGAGAAAATGAATCTTGTTGATAAAAATATTTTAAAATGTATGTGCGTTTTGTTTTTCTGTCAATATTTGTAGTATTTTTGTTTTAAACTACGAGTGAATGGTGGCATCGAAGAACAAAGAAATAGGAGATTTCATGTTATATTTTGTTTTTATAGATGCACGAATACTTATTTAAGAAGATAGACATTTTAAGTTTTAATTAATATATTGGCGAAGACTATCGGATGTATTTTTCTTTGTTGATCTCGCGCTTTTAAATATTTCTCAAATTTTATTTTTCATGTTCTTATTTTGGTTTTTTTTCCATTGATGAATAAAACTCATTTTAGATTGTTGTCTAATCCATCTTTTGTAACCTAAGATGACTGAAAATCGTTTTTCAGTTGATTACGCCAAACTTGGAACATCGGCTTGTAAAAAATGTAAAACAAAAATTGCCAAGGGTGAAATCCGTATTGCTAAAGTGACACCCAGTCCATTTTCGGAAGGCGATACAATGAAAATCTATCATCATGTAGCTTGCATATTTGATACATTTCTTAATGCACGAGCAACAACAAAAATTATTGAAAGTTCAACTGATCTCGACGGATGGTTAAATATAATGCCAGTTGAAAGAGAAATTATTTTAGAACAAATTAAACGAGTTCAAGAAGCAAGAGCTAATAAAGTAACAACTAAATCACCAGTGAAAAAAGCAACAAAATCAACTCCTGTTGAACGTCCGAAACAAACAATAGTGACACCGACAAAGAAAATATCACCACCACTATCAACTCCAATTATAAAAATTGCTGACGATGGTGATGATGAATCAACAATCGACAATGATGATATTAAAATTCTTGACAAGAAAACATCAAAAGAAGAAACAACAGATGGAATTCATATTCCATTAAATGATGATCCAAAACATCCCGATAATTCGTTTCGACAATTTCGTGGTCTTTGTACAAAAATCGCTGAAACCAATGGGCATTTAGCTAAAACATCTCTTGTTCAAGATTTTATTACGTATGGTATTGATGGTGAAAGTTATCAAGGTGAGGATAGAACAAAGCACCTTTTTTTTGAAATCATAGACAATTGAAAAAAGTCATTTGATCAAAATAGATATCTTTAGATAATTAAGAATCTTTTATAAGTCAACTGACACTTAAAGCCGAGGAATTATGCATCATATTTTGAAATAATGTGTCATTACAAGTCAGGTTTCTCAGCTTCTTTAAAACATCACATTTCATTTATCTAAAAATAACTAAGAATTTGATCTTGAAACTGATGTATTCGTACTTTATCATCGAATTACGATCAGTCTTAATCAGATGACTTGCTTTTTTCAATGAACTAGACTACATAATGAAATGAAAATTCTGGTTTAGGTAATTTAAGTTTGTTATTTCATCTCCTTTTACCAAGCAAAGGATATAAATCAATAATTTATAATCTAAAATCAAAACAATTATGTAAACTTTTCTCAATAATCTTTCATGAAAACGTAAATACAATGATTCAAAAATGTGAAGAATCTGGTGGTAAGAAAAATAGATTAATGAAAAATCGAATGGTTAAATTGTTTTTGCTTAATTAGATGTCGCTGAAACAATAAGTGATTTTTATTCATCATCAACTCATGTAAAACCGCCACCAAAGACTTTGCTATCCAATTATGATGTTGATAAATTTTTACATGAATTAGGCCAATTAACTCGCGAACAAGATCAAATACCATTGTTACGTAAAATAACTGAAAAATCAACTGTTAACGATTTGCGTATGTTTATTCGTCTTATTCAAAAGGATCTTGTAAATATATGAGCAATTTCTTTTTAGTCATCTATAGATTTATATTATTCATATTTTCGTATTTAGAAAATTAATGCTGGTCCAAAACATATCATTGAAAGTCTTGGTGCAAATGCGTATGAAAGTTTTCAAGCAACCAATGATTTAAAATCATTTATTAAACGTTATCTAGAACATAAAAATTCTGTTGACAATGGCTCACAAATAAATAAACAATTATCCATTAAAATTGAACTGATGACACCAGGTTAGATATTTTGTGACTATCAATCATTGGTTAATCATCAGAGACAGACGGAAAAAAAGGTTGGCCGTCAAAACGTCGAAGGGACAAATGTCGAAAAATATATTTTGTTGTGGAAAATGGTCGAAAAGAGTGTTTTCGAATTCTGACTTGAGAGAAGTGTGTTTCATTGTGTACGTTAATACTAACATATGATAATCGAAATATATTCATTTGCTATTAGCAATCGTTTTCCTTTTTGTGAATTAATAAATGAAATAGTTGGTGACTTTGATTGAGTTTCATCTTCTGAAGATGCGACAGCTGTAGCCATAATGGTAGAATTTTAGTTATATATTTACTCATTTGCAGGAGTTGTTCACTTAATCTATTATCAAGTATTAATCATTACTGTTACAAGAGGTGCAAAACCTAGACTAGCAGAATTATGGGAAAGGAAAACATGAATTATTCGTGTTTAGAGTCATCATTTACTGTAGACATCGCTATTTCGAATTTTGACATCTTTTGTGGCAAAATATATTCCTCGACATTTTTTCCCGTTCTACAATTTTTTTCGACATTATTCCGCTTCGACATTTTTCTTTCGACCTTTCTACGGCACACCGAAAAAAAGCATAGATCTAAAATTTGACAAATTTTTTATTAATACTTATGTCATCAATTAATTTCAATAGAGTATGTGAAAAGATAATTGGTTTATTTTTATTTTTAAAGTTCATCCAATGCTTGCCGAACCATGTAAATCTGTTGATTTTGCATTTAAACGTTGCCCCAATGGTTTTTATGCTGAGATCAAATACGATGGCGAACGCCTACAATTACATAAAGATCGAACAAATAAATTTAAATTCTTTTCTCGAAGTTTAAAATCTGTTACTGAACATAAAATCGATCAAATAAGTCAATATATTTCAAAAGCATTTCCAAAAGGTGAATCAATGATACTTGATGGCGAAATTTTATTAGTTGATAGAAAGTAATTTTTATTCTTAGACTCGAACTTTTCATGAAATATCTTCCTTTTTAGAACAAAAAAGCCATTACCATTCGGAACACTTGGTGTGCATAAAAAGAAAGAATTTTCAGAGGCTAACGAAGCTTTCTTCATTTTTGATTGTCTTTATTATAATGGTGAAAGTCTTTTACGTAAGTGATGGCCAATTTAGTATTTATATTTTTATAAACGGTTAAAAACAATCTTGAACATATATTTTAAGCACATAGAGAAAAGAGTTTCCGATGAGAAGTAATTGACGAGAAAGTGGGCTAATGGGTTGTCTCTCTATAGAATAATTATTTTAAGAAAAGTTTTCATAAATAAGTTATCCCTTGAGATTTTATATAGAAATAAGCCTTATAACTCTACCAATATATCAACAAAAATAAAAACAATCTTTCGAGCAGAAAATTTCATCTGGACGAAATATTTTTGACCTAAAATTCTATATTTAATTTTCTTCTGAACGTTTTGATTCCAAAGTAGATGTGTAAAACATGTCTAAGAGATCGGAGTTTTTGATATTATTGTTGGGAAATTTTTTTTTTAAATATAAACGCAATATTTTAACTCAGGTTTAACAAAGATTTTGAATGAATATTTAGTAAGTGTTATTTATTTTTAATTAGATTTTAATTCAAAAGAATGTCACGAAGGCTTTGAGTTGATGAAAATACAAAAATAGCATTATGTCATGATGTTTGGTTGTATTTTGGTAAAACTATTAGAAAATTAATTTCATTATCATGTTTTTGGATTAAATAAAGTTAGAAAAAAAGAATTGATTAGTTTTTCGTTGATTCAAAATATCATCAAAATCGTATTAGTGACATAATAAACTTATGTATTCGATTTCAATAACTTTCCCACTGCTAAGTATAGTATTACGATTGTTCCCTAGCTTGAAGACGTATAATTGCATCTGAACCTCAAAAGACCTCTTGCTGTCATAAGGTTTGTGGGGCGTCTTTCAGGTGTGATTTTTGCATGTAGTTGAGAAATCCCCGTAGTCTGAAAGGATTCAATTATTCGATCATTAGTTTTCTCGATATTTTAGACAAGACATTAAAGGAACGTCGTCAAATTCTTACTGAACATATGGTGTCAATAGAAAATCGTATACTTCTTTCGGATTTGAAAACAGTCAATAAAAAAAGTGAACTGAAGCATTTAATCAACTTTACAATTGCTGAAGGACTTGAAGGATTAGTTCTTAAGGTAAAAATCATTGTTTAAAAGTGAAATCCAATATTTGAACAAGAGGCTTCATATTCAATTATATCGGAGCTCGTATTAAATCTACAAGGATCCTTCGATGTGAGTTATGATTATTCTTTCAGCAGACACATCTAGTGGTTCTCAGGAGTCAACTCTCCGGTAGACTCAATATTTATGTTTTTTATGCGAATCCCAAATCAGGATCGAATTCGGCTTCTTGATTTTTCAGTATACCTCTAATTTTCAGTAGACAATGACAATGGATCGTTCTTAACTGAATGAATTATTTCAAATTGCCCTCGCCGAGATTTTCTTGTGGATTCTAGTCGAGCTTCAAATACAAGAATCACTTCGAGCCGTTTAGTATTTTCAATTGATTTTTGTTCTATAAAGAAAATTTATGACTGCTTCATTTTACGATCCTAGTTTTGACTTTTCGATGGTCCCTTGTACGTTTATCTAACTGTGCCAATGTCTTGTTCGGGCACAATATGATTTTATCTTTACGTTTTAGAATCCCGATGGAATGTACGAACCTAATAAGCGTCATTGGCTTAAAGTTAAAAAAGACTATTTAATGGATGGCACTATGGCTGATACAGCTGATTTAGTTGTGCTTGGTGCTTATTATGGCACCGGTAAAAAAGGTGGTTTAATGAGCGTCTTTTTACTTGGTTGTTACGATCCTAAAACGGATCAATGGTGTACTGTGTAAGTAACCGAGTGAAAATTTGTCGAGCATTCTTTTCATTCTGATTATTTTTCTATATAATTTTCAGAGCAAAATGTGGTAATGGTTTTGATGATGCAACACTAGAGAAACTTCAAGCTGACTTAAAATTTAATATGAATAAAATATCGAAAAATCCAAATCAAGTACCGAGATGGTTAAATATTAGTCGTGATCTGATTCCAGATTTTATTGTTGTTGATCCAAAACAATCACCTGTTTGGGAAATAACTGTAAATAGTTCTTATTTTCTATTTAACTGTAAACATGATCGAATTCACTAAAACTAAAACTTCTCCTTTTCAGGGTGCAGAATTTTCAAAATCTAAACAACATACAGCCAACGGTATTTCAATTCGATTTCCTCGTGTAACAAAAGTTCGTGATGATAAAACATGGAGAGAAGCAACAAATCTTAGTTATTTAGCTGAACTTTTTGAAAAATCAAAACCAACTAAGAGAGATAACGATGACGATGACGATGAAGAAAATCTTGTATGTTTATTTCAAACAAAGAAACAGCCATTGTAATATTTCTTTTTGTTCTACTATAGTTTCATTTTGGCGATACGAATGATAATAACAATAATAATAGTCCTCAAAAATCAACGCCAACTAAACGTAAACTACTCGAAATTGATTCCGATGATGACATAGAAATCCAAGCTAAACCACCTAAAATCATACGTAAATCATTACCGAACAGCTTACTTAAAGTTCATTTTCCAAATATATTTGACAATAAATATATTTACTTATCGTCATCATTACCAATGGATGAATACAATAATTTAAAACGGCACATTGAAGCATTCGGTGGCAAAGTTCTTTCTCCAAGAGATATTAACAATGATAAACAATTAGCTCGAGTAACACATTGTGTTGGCGTAAGAGATGCAACATTTGACAAAATTGATGCAGCCAAAAAAACAATTGAAACCAATGTGACACATATATCATTGCCAACTGTTTATGTTTGGAAATGTATTGCAACTAAAACCAAACTTTAAAAAGACGTCTGTCTTCTGTAGATACTTTTCTGTTTTTTTTTTGTAAAGTAAAAACAAACCCGGCAGCTGTTTTTTTTGTCCTGTCGCATTTGTGAATACAATTTTTTTTGTGTTTAGTGTTATGAAATTAGTTTAACAAAATACAAGCTTATTTCAAAATATCTTCTTACGTTAAATCGAGTGCAAAAACAATACAGTTCAGAATACAATGGAAAATCATACAAATCTAGATCGAATTTAAATGTTTTTTTCTTCTACATTCTTATTCGTACTCATGGATAATTATTGAACGATGTGATTGTTTTGCGTTATTACTAGGTGTAATAAGTTGACCGACTAATATTCTAACGTCACGGAGTTCTACTTAAAAATTATTTCCTGCGCAATTGTTCTGCTCAAAATGCACTCGATAAACGCTGAAAATTTTTACTTCAGGGGCACATCAGTTTAATCAAACTGAACGATTACACCGCCATAGAATGCAGAATAAATGGCTTCTGGCTAAACTGTTTCGCATTTTTTTCTTACCATTGATAATTAAATACGTTGTTAGTGCAATATTACATTTTGAAATACCTGTTATTATAATGCCCTGAAAAGTGGATCTTGTTTTTTTCTCTCGGCATTATTTTTTAGTTATAATTTACTCATGTAGATAGTTCGATTTGGCGTGAAGTTAAACGACAGGACTGTAAAATAAGCTCTTGAAAAGAAAATTGTGCACTACTATATTCTCTAACAAGCATCCTTTATTGATAAAATTATTAAACTGAATAATTGATATGATTATTTTTTTTTCACAATCTTCCTCTTCATTGTTGTCGTTTGGCCTATTCAATGAATATATGTTGTTGTTGATGTAAAGAGAAAATTTCTCAACAGTCATAAAATTATGATGAATAAAAAAGGCAAAAGAAGAAAATTATAAAATCATTAGTATTTCGATCATCGCAAACAATGTGTCTCTTTATATTTCATTCATGTTGAAATGTCTTGAGGATTTTAGGAAATTAGACGCCAAGTTCCGGGTTTTAATTGACTGCAATGTTCACAGCACACAACAACTAGTATTGGGAAAAATAATTGCTTTTGCAAGCGAATAGAATAAATTGGATGAATAGTGTTTGTGTCTGCATTAATTGAGATCCTAACTAGCTCCCTTTGAATGTCGTTGTTCAGTCTACCATGGAACAGGACATCAATTAAATGAGTTTCAACGATGCATGTTTGCAGATGCGCAGAAAGTATCTGTGGGATGATGTATTTTTTGCTTGATTGATGATGCTACTTAGAAAAGAATAATTTCATACGCATCGTAGCTGTTTAGACGACGCACAGCAATTGAACTGCCGAGTCGTTAACATTTATTCCATTTTTTTGACTCGATATATTGAATGATTTTCTATTCCATTTATTACCATAGCACCACATTATTTTAATGGTTCAATAGTGCATCTGAGTTCAAAACAAGATAAAATAAATGTAATTATTGTAGGTTAGCTGACATTTTTCTTCTTCTTATTTTTAATAAAGTCGTGCAAGATTAGTTAGAGTTTTGAATCTGACTGAATTAGTCCAAACTCTTTCAAGCATTTCAGTGCAATAATCGTGCCATGAGAAGTATTTATGTGTTTAATAGAATATCAATTGTTTGTACAGAAAAATAAATGAACTTCGGTATTCGATTCTATTGTAAACAAGCGCATTACAGTTAAAAAGTTTCTTCTAATCTTTTTGTTGCTTCAAAAGATATCATCTATATTAAGATTTATTAAGTAACTCTGAGAATATACTACAACAGTTTAAAGATCAGGAAAGGCCTGATAAAATTGCACGGTATATTACTGGTAATTTCAATAGAATAGTGTTCACATGATTATTAATGGGAAAATCTTACAGCAATATGTAAATATTCTTCGTTACCTACGTAAAACCGTGGTAGCAGATCAAGCCTCATTAGGAAAATTGCATTCTATTTATAAATCCTTCTTAACAACAAGCTCTTTTCCTGTGGTGATCACTTTAAATAAGAGGCATGTCAAATCACTTCATTTTTATGTAAGAACCTTTATGCATCTGCACTCATGAGAAATTCTTCTTGCTGCAAATGTGTTTTGTTGAAATTTTTCAAGGATTATTTATTGTGAACAAAGAGCATATAAAAAGATATTCCGCAGATAGTTCTCATGTTCATGAATACAATCTACTCTTATGTCTTACGAGGGAACCCTTCCAAGTGATACCAACCGTTTGGAGTCATATTTTCCCCATAAGTAGGATTCAGTGAGACAAGAAAAGGTCTAAAAGATTTCGTACCATNGACGCATTATCCTCGAACTACTGCATATTGAAGAAAACGGGGCATTTTCTAAAAATTGCCGTAAAATTGCCTTGTCTCCACTGGGTAGTATTTCGAGGATAATGCGTCTGTTTTAACTGAACGTTTTAGGACCTTCTAATATCGATGAGACCTATTGTTAGGCAAAATTTCAGTCCGAAATTCGTTCATTCAATTTTTCCTTCAATTACTTGCTCAAGGTAAAAAATTCAGAAAAATGGTAATAACTTTGAAAAAAGTCTAATGGCACGAGATCTTTTAGGCTTTTTCTAATCTCATTAAATCCTACTTATGGGAACAATATGACTCCAGACGGTTGGTATTACTTGGAAAGGTTCTCTAATTAGGCAGCAATACAAACTTGAAATTAATAGTGTGCGCATTTCAATTGGCTCATTTTCATGAAGTCTTTTAGGTTTAAGTACTTTGAACTAATCGAAAATGCACCTATAATGAATAGTTATATCAAGTTTTAAACGATATATGTCATTAAACATTAATAGAATCTTTTTTTCAAGTTAGCGCTTTTCTCCTTTCACTCATTTATGTCTTCGTTTGATTATTTTCACGATGCATCACTACTATTATTAATTAATAGACGTTGCAGCTCGATATGATTTTTATAGCTTTGTTCTATTTCAAAAAAAATTATGCATGATTTTATTATTATTAAATCATACTCAATATAAATGGTTCAGATCTATATAGAAACGCAACTTCTATAAGAAAAAAAAGGTAATAATAACATTCATATGAAGTCTTTTGAGAAAAAAAGAATATCCTTTTTTATTATAAAAATTTGTGCATTGCAATTAGATGAAAAAAAAATGTTGAGTGCTGTTTCAAGATGATGAAGTACTCTAATACGATTGAAAGAAAATCCTTCAGTATCGCATTGAAAAAAAGTCTAAATCCTTTTTCTAATTAATCAAGATTTAACCGAGACAAAGATTTCTTCAATAAAACCTCGGTTTCTCACATATTAGAAAACATAATAATGCTCTCTTACAGTAGAAAGAAAAAGAAACAGGTTTCTCCTCCCGCAAGGCGTAGTTTTCATAATTATATTCGCTAATATCTGATGTGGAAAAGATTTTTCTTAGATCCGTTTAATTTAACTTTATCTGAGCCAACCATTTCCTTTGATAATATCATATGCGTATTCTAATAAATGTAATGTTTGTTGTACGCGTGACTCTTTTTTTTAGTCAAAGGCGTAAATTTCTTCACGAGATAATTATGTGAACATGATAGTCGTATAATATAAGGTTAGCAGTATCTCGTTTTTCAGGCATTATATGTATCTATGTAATTAATAATGACCACGGAATACTCTGCAGTCATGAATGACAAGGTATGTCATTCGTTAGATTTTGTTGCCCTCGATAGAGACTGATTAGAAAAATATGATAGTTGATATAAAAGTCAGACTAAAAGATTCATCTATTATATTAACTTTTAATAGAATTTTATGAATTAGTTTGGGATTTAATCAAGATCGACAGAAGACCAGTAATTATTCTTGACTTGGTTTTTTTTATCTCGACATGCCACTCAATCAAATGTATGATTTTAAAATGCGTTGAAAGCAGACTCATTACCATATTTTCATGTAGAGCCATTGTAAAATGCAGACAGCGAACAATAGAAGATAATTATTTCCTTTGTTGTAATTAAGAATAAGAAAATTAATCAAGATGGATATGATGTTTCTATCGTGTAATTATGCAAATTTATTATCTATATGCGTTGTACTATAATGAAGAAAAAAAGCAAACGACAGCGAACCACAGCAAAAAGTAAGTTCACTCAGTTCAGAAGAATAATCCTTTCTTCATGTCCCTAATATTTGGTATTTTGTTTAGTAAGTGAGTTAGAACAGAATTGACACAGTATAGTATATGTCGTCATCTAGAATTACATGTATGTATTTATCGGAAGAAACAACTGCGATGATTAGTTATTTGGTTAAGAACAATGGTCGATAGATAAAGAAATCCGTTTATGTTTGATGATTCTAGGATTTTAGTTTTAATATCTATACTTTTGAACGGTGAAGTGTTTTAGTCTAATAATTGAGCTTTCTTCGCTGTTTTCTATAAACCAAACTGTCGGTCCGACTCGACTTTTAGAAAAAATAATAGCTTCATTAGGCAGAATAATGAGTGAGTTGAATACTGAGAAAAATCCTGCATTTATTTTGAATGAAAATGTTGCTCTATTAATGAGAGAAACCTTTTTTTTCTAGAGATAGTTATTATATTTTTCAATTTATAAAAAAAAAATCTCTAGGTGTCTATAGAATTTTACACTTTTTAGTAGAACTTCTATTTAATTTTCATTCTTTTGCTTTGTTTTGCAGGAAGCAATAATTATGAGTTTTTCAAAACATTAAAAAACTTCTTGTACTTTTATTTGTAGTTGTCTTTGATCATTATTTATAGGCAATTTATCATTCGACTTTGTTGACAATGTAAATGTGGATTATGTTGGTATTGTACACAATTTTAAGAAAGTTAACTTTTTCCTTGTTTAACATAGATTTTTGCTACTGGTTTGTAGAGTTTATTTTATAATTCCTAGATCGGTATTCTATTATCATAATATTATACAAGTTGAATACTTTCACACTTTGCTGGATGATATAACATGCATTATATGCACCGAAGAATGTCATCATTTTTCTTTTGTTGATGTCTTGTAATAGGTGGTAGCTGTCTAATATTTTCTTCTTTTTCTTTCTTCGCTTTCCCTATTGAATTATAGAGAACGACAAATAGTGTCACGTTAAGAGGAAAAATATGTTGTTCTTAGTCGTCTTTCAGTTATCAATGTAAAATCAACCTGGTAACTTCATATAGAGAAGGATTTGATATCGATGGATTTTGTGCCGAGTAAGATTCGTTATCTTGTCAATCTTCTAAAAAAACATCTCGATGCCGATGATTCCAGAAGACTAGCGATTCGAACAATAGATAATGTTTTAAGCCTCCCCCACCCCCGTCTCTAAAGCATGCTATTTTTCTTTTAATAATTTTGATAAAAATTATCAAAAGAAAAATAGCATGCTTTAGAGTCGGGGGATGGGGGGCTTAATGTAACAAGGAATGGGCCAGAGCCTAGAAGAAGAAAAAAAAATGTTGGTTGAATGTCTAATAATATTTTTTTTTGTTGTGATCACTCTGGATAAACCATTTATCTTTTATTTTAATTTTATCGAAACAAACTAAGTTGCTGAAAAGAAATTTTTACCCTACATTTCTTCTATTACCTTAATTGCTCTTTCCATATTCTAGATCACTATATATATATATATATATATATAAATATATGAATATTAGAAAACAAAATGCACTGTTCAACATGTTTTTGCCACCAAAATAATTATCTCAAAGAATAAGATGTATGCATTTTAATTGCTAATTATAATAATCAGCATCATCATAAAAAAACGTCTTACTGTCACTCATTGAATAAAACTGTTAGTATGAAGTAAACTGGCAACTCTATCTGTTTTTGTTTCTTTCTTTGAAGTTATTTTAAATAGCCACAAACGCCCGTAATTAATGGATAGTAATCAATTAGATCTTCATTCAGCACCTATTTATAAATTATTTTTCGATGATATTGAAGAAATATTTCTCAATACAGTACCATTTCGTTTTCTTTGCATAGTATCTTTAATAACATGTATATTCATAATCGGTACATTAATTCTTATTTTCTATCGAACAAAACAACTATTTCTAGCATGTCTTATACCGTTTATTTATGCGTTAGTTTTCTATGATTTTATTCAATTATTATCATTAATTTTATTAAAATATAATGCAACTGAACAATTTTTAAATCAATTATGTCGTTGGCCATACTATTTGAAATCGTCATCGGATGCTGGCCAATGTTTAACAATCATATTTATTTTTATTTTGAGTCGTCATCAAATACGCTATTTCATCACTCATAATCATCTGCCCAATTCAAGTTATATTCATTCTCGTGCATTAGCATTCGCTTGTTTATTGTTTATTCTCTATGTTAATAATTGGATAACACATTTAAAAGTTGAAAAAGTTCATTTAGTAATATTAAATAAAACTGAACATGAAATTAATGTACAAGAATTACCCATATCCTTATATGCTATCGCACAAATTCAAGTACGTTCACATCAACGTTTTCTAGCTGATCTTAATCGATATTCTCAAGGTACAGAAAAAAATATGCTCACTCCAAATCAACAAAAAGTGCCAAACGATAAAATAATACGCAATCATAATGATGGGTCCATACATGAAATAATAATTAAATTTCCCTATGATTATTTATTTAATCCAGTAATAAATCGAACAAGGCGAACATCAGAAACTATTCAACCAAATCATACATTCAATTCACAATCCGATGAAAATGAATACAATAATTCATATCGTATAAGTCGTTGTACATACGGACAATCGAATTTTTTCCTAACAAATTTCCTTGGATTAATTAGTTCCATAGGTTATTTTACATTGATATTATATTATTTAACAATTATTTATACATATAAAGTAACAGATTCAATGATCAATTATCACAAACAATTCTATGAAAAGTCATTTTCATTGACAAGAAAAAATGCCGTCATACACCATAAACATTTTATATTGTTAATACATTTAAAAAAATTTTTGTATTTAATTATCTGTTCTCATACGTTGATTACATTTATTCGTCTTGTTTATGTATGTTTATTAACAATAATGTTATGTTTTTATCAAACACCATTTCGTTGGTTACCTATAAAAATATTCTTCTATTCACTTTTTTTAATAAGTTATCTTTCAATACCAATACGAATGATTCTATTGTTTATCTATTGCTTTATAAGTATGTTTTCAACTCAGTTACGATCGGTGATCTATTATTTATTCAATACAAATTTGCGTTTTTCGTGGAAATTAGAAAAGCCAACAATTTGTTTTCGATTACAATTCATACCTTATCAAGATAATTGCAAAGATCGACGAGTTGATCAATCAGTAGTTATTGACCTATCGTCATCAGTTATTGACGATCAATCAAATGTACTACCACAAGATTCAATGATTATGCCCAACGAAAGTAGTAGTAGCCAAAATGGCTTTACTACAGCTATTCTTACTGCACCAACGGCAATCGTCGATGAATCAACACCGAATCCATCTGCTATTGCTAAATTGTGATCTCAAAAATTTATCTTTTGTTGTCGTTTTTGCTTCTTGTTTTTTTTGTGCGAAAACAAAGTACTCGTCAATAATAAAAATCTGATTATATTCAGTCGACAAACCCATAACTAAAAATAAGTTTACATGACATAGTTGGTGAAACCTTAAAATAATGTTATGTCATGTATGTTCCTATGTTCTATCGAGTACATTCTAGCTACTTGATTCATGGACACGATTGGACGATAATGATAAGCCGATAACGAACGAGTATTAAAATATCTGTTTATTATATTTTTTGTGTACTCAAAAAACAAAAGTGAGTACACCACAGAATCGGTCAGTGTGTCCGGCCGTTTACACGATAGCTCCTGAAAGGCTTATCCGATTGTCATGAAACTTTGTACACAGGATGATCTCATCAATATCTCAGTCGAGTTTGAAGATGAGAAGGATCCGCCAAGAAATGGCTGAGTTATACAAAAAATGGTCATTATTGACCAGACCATCCCTGAGGGGGAGTACAGGGATTTTTCCAAAAACAAATTTTTTTCCCAGTTTTATTCACAACATATATAAATCGATTCAGTTTTTGCAGTACACATAACGATCGGATGCAAATCCGATGTTTCCGCATTTATTTATGCCTCTACAAATGGCATGAGTTCTTTAAATAATCACAGAATTATTAGTAATTATTTGTGAAAAGAAAATAATAAAATGACTAAAGTGAGAAAATAACATAACTAATCTCTGTTATTCATAGGGGTCATTATATGTTGCTTATTCTCTGAGTACAAAATAGAAACGCTTGCTCTACAATTAACTATCGGAAACGTTGATGGTATTGAAACATGAGTTGAAAATTGTCCTTCCTGCTCTTTGGGAAAAAGTAAACTTTCTATCAAGCTATTTTTCATTGCACTTTCAATAGAAACCTAATAATCGTATGGTTAATATCAAATTCAACTAAATTAATATCAATCGAGCATAAATAATTCTACATTATATGTTTGATGCTATGCAACGAGTCATGTCTATATAATTAGTATTTCTTTTCAAAAAACATGATGATAGAAGTGGCTTTTCTTCTGATTCGCCAAATAGTTCTCATTGATACCAGCAACTATTTCTATTAAACAAACTTTCTTCAAAATATACGTCATATTTTCTTTTTATCCACAAAATTCGATATGCAAAATGTGATAGAATACATTTTTGACATTTTCAATCATCTACAACTTATCTTTTATAAAACAAAAAGCAATCGGTAACATAGTAAACAGAAGGTGAGCAACTGATTGGAGGTGCAGCTCATGCAAACTTTATATGTTTGCAGATTGTGTAATTATCCGAAAGAAATTCAATGCAGAATTATTCGGTTTAGGAAAGTTTATGTCTATTAATAGATGCAAACAAATAGGAATATTTATCGCAGAAAAAAAATAGTGCAGAAAAAAGTTTCAGTGAAGCCCCTGAGATGGGAGAATATGAAATAACACAATTTTGGCTTAATCATCATATGCAATATCATTATGTATGTGAGAAAACCAAAAGGCAGCATGCCGAAAAACTTACTGAACAATTTCAGGTCGTGGGAAATCTCTCACAACTTCTGCCAGACGGTTCTAAGGTTACCGATATGTTTATTAGTGTCTACCGTTATATCGAGCATATAGGTTGAATTTCTATTTTATATACTACTTTAAGATTTATTCAAAATCATATTTTTAAAAAGCACGTGATGACGATGAAGGAATTTCTCGATATGTCACGTATAGATATCAGCGATCAGGAGATTGATTGAACTGAAAGAAAATGAGAAAAAAATGTAAATCAGTTTATATTGATTCGGATCGTTCTGGCTAATTTAGGTGCCAGCACGATAAAGACTAATACTTGCAACTGTGACTTAAGGTAAGATTAACGTTTTTTCAGTACTCAATTAGACATAAATCTCTCTTTACTGCTTTCATTTCTAAATCGAAGATTATTGTCGTCTTGATATTTCACATCAAATAATCAATACTTCTATCATAAGAAAGTGTCATAATAACCAAAGATAATACTACTTTTCTCTTTTGAAACATCAAAAAGATGTACGCTAATTTTTAATTGAAATGGTTTGCTTTACAATAAAATCCTATACATTTTAAATGATATACTGGCCATTTATTGTCTTACTGAAGAGCTTTCTTCTTTTATATACGAAACAGAGAGTTTTGCAAAAGATTCTTGAAATAAAAAGAAATATATGTATATGTGAGAAGTTCAACTGGTTTATATAAAATTTTCATAATTTCATTTTGATTTAATTAAGGTGCATCAAGGTCAAAAAGCGAGCAGAAGAAAACTTTCTTTTATTATTATATGGTTGGATAGAGAGCTTGATGAGTAGATCATGAATATCATCTTTAAAATATTTCTAGGCTTCCGTTTTGGTTGAGAAATTTTCAAAATACAAAC